AACAAATGGCTACTTAGGTGTTTTTCCTGAATTCAAGTTGGATAATTTTTGATCAGACATAGTACAAATGCTGTTCATAAGCTTTATGACAACTTTTTGCCAGAACAATAGTGTAATGGTATATCGATCAATGTGTTTATCAAGTAATAGCTACTATTGTCTGTTCATCTGCAGAGTCGCTAGTGTACACTCAGAAATTGGTCTAGTGTAAAATTTGTTTTTGTTGCTGTGTTGTGGATTCGAAACATGAACTGAGAATTGCAATTAAATTTTGTTTTAAAGCAGATCTTTCTACTATGGAAACCCTAAATGTGGTACAAAAGGAATATGTGAAGCTCTCAACATTTTGCACAGACGATTAGATTTTCTAAGTTGCTGTCTATATATCTTTTGTATTTGGCATTTGTCCTCTTTTTTAGGAATGTTTCCCATATGTTGAGCTGAACAAAAGGAAAATTGAGTCATGTCTTATCAATCATTGTGATGGTAGATGCAGAGGAAAATTTCTGATGAAATCATTACAAATCATTACTGTTCACAATGCTTCAAGTATCAACTTTTGACAGACTTTATCACCTACCTTACTTGCCAGATTTGTTTCTTCTTGACTATTTTCTATTTTTCAAGTCAAAATTGAAACTTAAAGTACATCAATTTGCAGGTGTTTCACCATTCAAAAAGCTGTGTACAATAAATTAAAGACAATTGGAAAAAAAAAAAAAAAGGAATTTTCTGCAGCTTTCCAAGACTTGCACGATTGTGCAAATGTTTGCACGTATGTCAATGCAACACATACTTTGAATAAAAAAAGATATATTATCTCTGTCTCATATTTTTGATCTTTTATAATTCTAAAATTTATGGACTGTACTGTGTAGAACAGTTAAGACACATTCAAAATTACTTTATTTATATAAGTTCAGTTTAGTATTTAAAATGTCTACTTGGACTTATTATACTGACGTCTTTTTGTTCAGCAAAATTTAAGAAAGCCTATCAGAAAAAAACAGTCTTTATTTTTCACCTGTACACTCCATATATATATATAATAAATCCGAGTAGACATTTTAAATACTAAGCTATAAGATAAGGCCACAGAAGCATATGATTTAATATATAAGTACAGTGTTTTTCCTGGGAAAAATTTTAGGTATTCAGTCTACAATACTAGGTTGTGTTAGTTAGGTTATTCTGCTTATTATAAGACCTGCTAACTTAGTTTCTGTATTAGTTTTAAGCTTACAGTTTACTCTGTATAGCTTATATGTAGCTGCACTACTTATTGGTGTTATGCTACAACTCGGGTTTTCTTTTAGACCCACGGCCTTGCAGCTTAAAAACTACATGCCAACTTTAAACATAGAGGGCATAGTAACTTTTAGTATGCAACTTAAAAGGTTCCTTCTCTTCTTTCTATCTTCTCTTTCCCTCTTCTCTTCCTCTTCTAACACTGGCTAAACACTTTGTGAATGGCTATGGTCTTTTGTTGAGTAACTCAATGATGCTACTGCAAGTATCCTTACGAACTGTAGTTAATGATGACAAAGTAATATTTGTATTATAACATGCTATTGCACACTAGTCTATAGCATGGTTATCTTTAAAAATTAATACTTGTAAATAAAATAAAACAATATTTTTTAACTGGTTGGAGGAAATATTTAGCTGGTTGATTGACCAATTAAAATTGGCTTGATAAATTGTATAAAAATTTCATATTATTTTTAAAATTGTTAACTCATAATTTATAATGTAAATTTACAAATTTACATTTTGATGTTATCATCCTTCAGAATTTGGAACGAAATTTAAAATATTAGACATAATATTAAGAAAATTACTTGTTTTTTTATTGTTTATTGATTAATGGTGAAATATTTTAAAAGTTACTTGGCAAGCGATATAGGTGAGATGTTGTTGTTCATGCCAACTCATCAGTTCACTGATCTTAAAATAGAAAAGTTTGGCTAAGAGGTGTTAAATATTGTAAGATGAATCATAATGACCTTTTCCATGACGATCGATGATGTTAAAAAATTAAACGATGATGATCTTTAAGTAGAGGACGTAAATAATATTATGTTTGAATTTAACTTCTAATTTAGATGCAGAATGCACACAATGAGGTTTATTGTAATGGTGTTTTTGATGATAAACTGTGATAAATTTTCAGAAATATATAATGAATTTCCAATGTTTAAAACTAGAAATCAGTCAAATAAATGATTTTTTACATTAATTACATTAATAATTTATCACAGATATCATTTTGTAGTGCTTTCCCAATTTGTATGTATAACCCCAAAAATATTCTATTTGACGCACCATAAAATTTTGATTTTCACTTGGAACAATGGTAAATGCATTTTTATTGGTTTATTCTTTTTAATAGGCAAGTGATTTATGTAGGAATGAAGTTTTATAGTTTGAATTCGTGTATAATGAATCTAATATAAATAATTTACTATCTATACCAGTGTTTCTCAACCTCTAACGAATCGTCGCCCTCTTCAACGTAGTATTGCCCCCTTCACTTCAAAATTCCGATGCCAAGGGCCAAGGCTAATGCCAAATTCGTACTGCATTGAATAGACTAGTGACTAGTATAATGTTATTTGTTTAATTATTGTACAATATAACGAATAAAATATCTAATTATTCTTAATATAATGTTTTATAATCTAACTACTTAACCATCGACGGTTATTACAACGCCGGCTGGGGACACATTCAGTGCCCACGTCCTACTTCCCATAAGGCTCTCAACCGGCCATCGCAAGCCCCGGCAAGGCGTAATAAATATACAAACATCTCCAACCCGATATATCGATGGTTAAGTAGTTAGATTATATATAATGTTTTACTATATCGCCCAGAAAATTGTTTTTTGCCCCCCAAAATATAAATTGTTACTAACCGTCCCTCAACATGGAAAAATGCCCTTGTGGGGCGATATCATCCCCGTTGAGAAACGCTGGTCTATACTGTATACAAAAGAAAATAACATATATATTGTTGCTTTCAACTTAAAGTAAACACTTTTAAATACAGGGTCTTCCATAACAAATGCTACTATTTTAAATTACTGAGAATTAAGCAATGTACTCATCTGTGTTTCATTTCCCATCTGCCTTTAAATGTCTTGTCATCTATTACCTCTAGGAAGAATCATAAACAAAAATGGTGACTGTGCAACAGAGTAGGCATTCTGCAGTTTACAAAGTTGGAATTACTTGTCATTGTGCTACTTGAGTAATCTTCAGAAGCCATAGAATTCTAGCTGCTGTGGGAGAAGTGATGACAGATACGCCATAGCAAATATAGGAAGAATTTGTGTATCGGTCGGATGTGTGCCATGTGACATGAGGTACTGTACACTTATTGAGATTAAAATAGGCAAGCGTAAAACTTGGACAATTTTTCAATGTTTTAATGTATGTTACAATGTTCTTGGATAATAATTAATGTAATTACAGTAATTTAAAATGGTAGCATTCTTTTTGGAAGATCCTGTATATATTATTTAATTTAAAGGGGAAAGAAATAGACTATCGATATCACAGACATGATTAAGAAAAGTATTAAACAATCATATTGACTCTAGCTGATTCACAATTATATGCAAACCAATAATTATTCTTGTACTAAAGTGAATGGTAATTGGTTAACTTCTGACTTTAACTCTTGATCCTTAGTTATGAATACAGACACAAGAAATTTGGTGATAGTATATATCACTGATCAATATGTAAATATTTTAATACTTGTTTTTAGTCTAGAAAGCAGATTATTTATTGAATTATTGAATTGCTAGATTATGGGACTGTGTTAAGATATTTGATGCAATATTTTTGAATATGCTATCGATCTAAACTTTAGAATGCAACTGATTATTCAGCTGTCATGGAGTTATTTCTTTAATAAACTGTTTGAAATGATGGCTGAACGATGGAGACAGTAAAACTGCATTTAGACAGGCACTTCTTACGTCATTGCGTCAAGATGTGTTTCTTGTTCTGTTATGTGCAAACATTCATAAAGGCACATTTACTATTATGATGGAAGATTCCTTCCGTTAAAATTGACTTTGGACCGATCCCAACACAATGAAAATCTTGAAATGTCTTTCTGGCATGTAATGTCATGTTACGCCACTTAATTTACATTACACATATCTGTCTGAACACAGCTTTAAAGTGTAATCCTGCTATTAGCAGAATTACACTTTTAATGCCTCATCATCCGGCAACTAATCAAGCAGTTAATCAATTCAAGCATGATTGGGCTGCAATTTGAAATAATTGTAGACCTGTAAATTTCCACTGTCATCCATTCACTGTCTATAAGAAATACCAGTACTTGAAATTATTCAGTCTCTTGAGATCACTATTCTTTATCTCATAGAAACACGTATGTTTGTAACATACGTGTGTATGACAAAGCTGATGAAAACCGTATATACTGTAAGCATAACAGAGGCAAATTACATACTCTCATTACCACTTTGCTTGACTTCACAATTTGTTAAAAAAAACTCATTCACCTTGGTTTCTTTTAATGCCGCATTTCTGTCTATTGAATACAACACTGCTTGATATTAGCAATGTCACGTACAGTACAGCCTGTTCATTTATGCTGAAACTCATCAGGAAGGTCTTCACGACTTTGAAATACTTGACAGCCTTGCTAAATTTCGGCACTACTTGGACCGGCGACAGAGTGTTCACTAGGTGACTCCTCCTTAATCGTATCGGCCGGCTGACTTTCTTTGTACAATTCTTCAATTGTACATATCCCGAATGTAACAAGTGCATCATAAAACTCTACAAATTTCCAGAAACACCCAAATATTAACTAAACGTTAAAAAAAAAGCAAAGTTTATAATGGATTTTATGTAAAATTAATTGATGTAATTAATTATTTATTTACTCAATTTTATGAGCTGTTAAAATGTGTAAAATTTAAGGATTTATAGTCATTTTAATTTTTTATTTTCTAGATGTCAACAAAAACTAAGTTTACAGCTTTAACCATTCCAGAAGTTGAAGAACAGTTAAATTCTAACACCATCAAGCATAGAAAACATCCGGGACTTAGAAGAATAAATTGCGTGAAGTTACCTGAAAGATTGATTAATGCAGCCAAAAATATATTAAACAATAAAGGTAAGTAAATATACAGGTTGATTATAAAGTCTCAATCTATTTTTGTTAAAATGGTAACAAAATCATTTGTTTGCTACTGGACCCAAAGAAATATACTGAATCCAAGAAGAGAGATTCACTGTGGTTTGTTCACGTTTCAATGGATTAATGGTACACGGATCTGGACGAAGTGCAAGTTTCCTGAATTTCTGGGTGAAGTTTGTCGGTACATAGAAGTACCGACAAACTTCATCCAGAAATTCCGGAAACTTGCTCCCATCAGGGCCAGTATCAGACTGTTAGTTAACAAATTCAGGCAAATGGATAATGTACAGGATGCATAATATTCCAGGAGACCCATCATATTGCATGAAATGGTTCAACATGTAGAAACTACATTAACATAGTCTACATCATTAACCAGAAAACTAAGCCAGATGCTCACTGTCTTAATTGATAGTGTGAAGATGTTCCATTACAAACTCATGAAGCATGCGTAGTGTGCCCACGTATTGCGTAAACTGGAGAAAGAGAAAGAAGACTATGCCACTTGCCAAATGATGTGTCACGATCTCTTGCAGGATAATGGGAGGATTTGATGGTACTTTCATGTATGTTAATAAACTCAAACACGTACAAACAGCATCAATTTGCTTTTCTTGGATCAGCATGCTTCACACAACTTGCAAAAATGGATTGAGATTTTATAATCATCCTTTATAAAATCATTTGTTTTTAACTTTACAATATATACTAAAACTGGCTATAGGATGTTGTGTGTGTAAGCTGCAAAAGGGCTATGTGGCAGAGTGAGTCAAGGGCAAGCTGTAAAGGAATGTTGACTTTTTTGCAAATGCTCTTGTTTACAGGCTAGGTTTTAGGGTACAACTCCATAATAAAACTCAATGGGAAAGGAACAGAATCAGGAATAACATTATTTACATAAATCTCATCATGCTGTGTAGTAGAGTTAATTGCAAACCATTTTGTTAGTCATTTTTGCCAATTTTCATGAATGCTTTAATAATAATACTAGTTTATCGCAAAGAAACAAAATATGATCAGAATATGCATACTTAATTTAATCTTGTATCAGTTAGACTTTTTAAAACAAAAAGTGGCAACATTTTTGACACATTTTTGGCTACGTTTCAAACGCAACTACTGATCGAAAATATCTGCCAACTCTGTATATTTCACACACATAATCAGTTCATTATGATATTTATGTATTGTATGTCTCTATGAATTTTACAATATAACTATTGAATAACAAAAGCAAAAGCACTCATTAATTGTTGGATTATTTAAATAATTTTAATTGTATCATCGATAAAACTGTGAATACCCAAAAATCTTGGCTTTAGGCTCCAACATATAGCCAAGTTTCAGTCTGATACCATATTCATGCACTCTTACTACAATACTTTGTCTTCTTATTGGGCTGCAATTTGAAAAATTTGTAAACATAAATTCCCATTGTCGTTCTTCTGCTCGTCCATCCATCTGTCTGTTCTTAATCTTGAGAATGGTGTTAGATAAATGAAATGCAAGACAGGTATGGAAGGCTTAGGGACAGGAGGCCTTGATTAACTATATACAAACTTCCGAAGCAAACCGGAAGTCACGTTATTTCAATTCAAAAATTTTCCCCCGAAATGAGTTAGATAGATGACCAGCATGACTCCATTGCTAATGGAAAAGTATGTTGTACAGGGGCAAGCCACTACTAATTTGAGATGGAGAGCATATACTTTAAATTAAATAAATTAAAAATATGATTAAAAATTGCAGCCCATTATTGTGACAATGCCATAATAAATAATTGCTCATTTTAATTCTTGTTGTTTTAATTAAGGAATATTTGAAAAGTATGCTTTATTTAGAGTAAGAAGTTACAAATTAGAGGGTTTTTATATTTTCAAGCTTATTCTCATCATCAAGATCAAGAAAAATACAGTTATTAAGAAAGATTCTCAAATATAAGTTTAATTCAAACTGTTTTTCTTCACATGAAAACTCAAACACTTTCAGTCTATTATCAGGAGATCATATCATTTTCTTTTGTTGACTTCTTAGGATGGGCAGATGAGATAGAAGTGCTCGAATTTTCTAAAAAATTTACTTTCTGAGGAAAGTAATTTGAATTGTATTATGGAAAAAATTATAAAAATAACTTAACAATAGGATGTAATATTCTTACTATATAAGGTTGGATAACCATCTGGTCAAGGTATTTAAGCATCATCCTATTGTTGTAGGGACTCAGAATCACATCCAGATGAGCAACGCCAGAAATTTTACAAATGTAAGATGCACTTTATTCAGGTTTTAGTATTTCTGAAAATAGGGTGCTTCTTAGATTTGACATAAAACATCTTAATGAATGATCTCTAGTGCTGCAGCATCTTATTCTTTGTTGCTAATTCCATTAGGTCATTTTAATGATTCTACAGTATTAGACCAAATATTCATAATAGATCAATTTAACTCACTCTCTTCAGTCTGTTATAGTAGTCATAAGTACTTGGATGAAAATTAAGGTATGTTAGATTTGACAGTGTCTTTCAATTTCTGATGTTATTCTCGATGCTATTTCTTTGCTATTGTATTTTATGCTGAAGTCGTACCTTGGTTCTATAAATTGTAGCTTATCCAGGAAAACGTCAATGTTTCTTTACAGTTTTTGCTTTACACGAGAGTGGCCTATAGTCACGGTTTTAAGGTATAAGCCCATTCAATACAATAACATTATAATTGCCATTTTTCTCATTCGTATGGTCTCGTGAACCTAGACTTTGTGTGTTCTCTGCTAATAGTATTCAATAATTCTAATCTTGAGATATCTGTAATGATTATTTATTGATGAAATAAAGCATCTAAAAAAGTTTTCAATAGCTATACATGCCAAATATTAATAGAAAAAGATAACCTATACCACTGTCTGTCAGCATTATGTAAAAATAATTTATTTTGTGAGTACTTTTGAGTATATAACTGTCCACTTCAGGCAGAATCATTCATAGAGAACAAAACATTTGAAATTCAAGAAAAATTTTCTATTTTTTGTCTAGAGTCACTGCTCAGTGCACAGTGCATCTTGTCAGGGTTTACTATGTGGCAGAGTGAGTCAAGGGCAACAATTGGTCAAAGGTTAATACAGCGAATGAACAACAAAAACCTCTGTTTTACTTTCTTGTATTAAGAAATGGAGATGGACTATGATATTAACAGACAGTTAAAGGTGTTTTGTTCACTTTATGAAATAACTGCACTGGCCAGTTTGACTGATAAACCTACTTTTTTGGAGTCAGAATATGTGCAAAATTCAATATATAATGTAAAATATAAATAAATAAATTAAACAAACAAAAAACAATGATTAAACTGTGATGATATGGTGCCATAATAGTAAAGATAAATATTGCATTTAAGTATATTTGTATTTTTTTAATTTAAAAAGTTTGTTAGAGAGTATTGTGACTACTCCGAACTGTGATTTTATTGCGTTGCGTTTTCCTTTGTTCGAGATCACGGGTTTGTTGTGAATCTGTGTAATATTTTCCAAGGATTTTTACCAAATGTATTTAAGGTGTTTTAATGAGTCTGACACTTTGACATATTTACATGTGAGACCCAGTTTTTTTCTCAATTACATGAAACAAATCATATAATTGATGTGTTTACATAACTACTTAATGAAAAATACATTGGATTATCTCTCAATCTACACAATCCTTTTTTAAAGTGCCACTGCAAAAAGCCATGAAGCAAATGTTGCTTAGTTTATTCATACTAGAAATTTATTCTAGTAAAAATAAACTAATTTCATTTTAATTTAAAGTGATTTATATTAGATTTAACACAGTGGTGTATCTGGAATTTTGAGAGTTCGGGTGCTGCTCAATGCAGATTTGGGGGGGCCGAGGCACGAGCCTTCGACATTTTTCGGAGAATGTTACTCAGTTATCTTCGAATAACTGAAGTTGTACAATATGCCCAGTTATATTTATTTTTATTTTAAAGTAACAAAACTGATTGCTTTGGTATCAAATTGAATAAGCCTTCTTCCTGTATACTCCCCCTTCAATATCTAATTTATGTTTATATTTTTCTCAAGACGGCTCCACGCGTTCGGAATTTGCCGAATAATTACATATTCATCCCTTTACTTTACCACTCCTCATCGGCACATTATACTAACGAGAGTGGGAAACAAACAAATGCAGAACATTAGTCATATGTAAATCGTCTACGTTACTTGGTACTGGCCAAACACTTGCTCGGCATTTATACCAAATGCACGAGACTGGCCTTATATTAGAAAGAAAGATTTAATAAACGGACGTTATGCTTGAGAGAATTGCACCTATTTTTTTCCTGTACGAAGCCATTATTAAGTAACTTAATCCAATTTAACGAGTCATGGTTTTATTTTACATTTTAGGTTACACCACAAAGCAGTTGCTCGTTAACAGTACCGATTTGGTAAATACTTTAAAATCTAGAAATTTGCCGGTAGAGAATAGATACATTAATGAAGTTGCCAAAAAAGTCGAATTAAAAATATGCGAAAAAGGTAGAAAGATTTGTTTTAAAAAATACTAATAAAATATATATTATTTTTAATATTTATATTTATTTTTTTAGAAAAAGTAGATTTAGATTCTGTAGACAAACTCGACGAGATGACGAGACGGAGGATAAAAAATAAAGTTCTATTCAGGCTTAAACAAGTAATTCCTCATTGGAAATCAATAGAGTAAGGAGTTCTTATTAGAAAAATAAAATAGTTTATAGTAAATAGTACATAAATAATAAGTAAATTGGTAAAATATTTTAAGACTTTTCTATTGTTTTTCTTTTTTCTTTGTGTAGCTATGATTTTTATCAATGCATACTTTATATGGTGAGCCGACTCGCTCCCGAATATGCCGTTCTGAAGCAAGTTCTAACGGAGGTAAAAGATTTTAATATTTTAAAATTGTTTTAAAAAAAAGTACACGATTTATGACATTTTTTATAAAAAAAATGTATTTTATTTTTATCTTTTCAATTTTAAAGCATTCAGTTTTGGTTTATCTGTTGCATAAAATGACTTACTTTCGGCTGTTTTACTTTTTAAAATTCAATTTCAACAATTGAAATACATCAGAATTGCATTAATTTAAAATGGACGCTAGTCCCCATCTGATTCCTGTTTAAATTGACATACATTTCTCTTGTTAATGCCTCCCACTGTTGTACCTAGATCTACTAATACACGAATTGACAGCAAGTGTTAGTAGATTAACATCATCTTCCCACTTTTGAAATTTAAAGATCAAATTTAAAATTAATAAATTAAAAATTTTAAAACATTTTAAATCACTTGATGCACAATTAGGATGGTTTACAGTCACCTGCGGTGCTTTCTTGTTGTGCTTCTTGTGATTTTTTTTTAATTCCGTCAAACGCACTACTTTATCTTTGTATTTCTCACTGATTAGACATTATTCTGTTTGCCATGCGGTATTAACAAGTTGTTAAAATCATTTCTTGTTTTTGTTCTGTAGCATCCAGAAAGGTTCTCCTTCTAATTCGAACCATTTAGGCCGTTCTTCCGGTTTGAATTAACGCAAGTCTATCGTATATTTCAATTTTATTTTTTCAGTTTTAAAGCATTTGGTTTCGGTTTATCTGTCGCATAAAATTGCTTAATTTTGGCCATTATTTCAGTTTGGCTTCAACAATTAAAACGTGTTTGTTTCAATTTTATTTTATTTTTTTGCTTTTATAAATTGCCGAAAATTTTCAAATAATGCAGATAAAAGTTTGATTAATGCAGCATGCTCTTGTCGATGATAGCTTCTTATTATTAAATTATTGGCACAGTTAGCGAATGGCTTGAATGACAAATGCACATGCAACAAACACAATTTTTGTTTGGCCAAATTTATGGCCAGGTTTCTCTAAAGTGACTTTACAGGAAATTCTTGTGTTTTATAACTAAAACTTTCGCTAATATTTTTGTAAATTGACATTTATAATTCATTAAATTAAGTAAATATTATACTTAATACTGTCGTTTTTGATTATTTTTTTTTATCATTTAAGGGTGCCATGATTTAAAAAAAGACTTCTTTACTTAAGTAATCTTGATTATGTAATTATTAGTATTATCAGATAAAAGGCATTGGCTACAAAACTATAGTAGAGCATCGATTATCTGAATTGCAATAAACCGAAAGCATTCCTGTCAGAAAATTCAAATTTTCCGCTAGTACTGTGGCATTGCAGTACTCTCTCTCTCTCCCTGCCAACCTAAACTGTAGGTATAGTTTAATGTAATACATTATGTAAGGTATGTATTTGTAAGATGTGTGATACAAATTATATACAGTACAGATTTGTGTTTAATATATTTTTTTTCGTAAATGATCAGTTATCCAAACAACCCCAGTCTTGAATTGTTTCGGATAATCAATGCTGCTCTACTGTACTTGGATATCTGACAATTCTGCATTATGATATTAAATCTTTTATGTTGCCACTGGTTATCCATTATTGCAAGTTGGTAAAAAAAATTAGTAACCTTTTTAAAAGTTCTTGGATTAATTAGATTAATTTGCATTGATTATGCAGGCTGCAGTGTGGAAAACAGGCCAAGCTTGAAATAGATTAAATTATCGTAATGTTCATATTGGGAAAAAATGGGATGAAATAAAATTAGACAAAGAAATTCTTTGAAAACTTAGTTTTATTTACAAGACATTATGGAAATTCACATAATTAATGTTTTGTAGTTTAAGTAGGTCCAGTTTTGTGAGGCACACCCTGTGTTATTTGACTAGTGGACTATTTATGTGGGGTATGTTAACCATGTTAATTTCAATGGATTTGTAGTATGGTTGCTAGACTGTACAGTAGTTTGTGTTTGCGTTCGTGTACGAGCTTTTGATCTTTTATATTTACTATTTGGTTATGTTGATGTAAGTAAACTGGGCACTCTTAATCATCAAATTTAATCTTCAGACTAATCACTGCAGTTAATAATTCTTTAACTTATCTGATTGGATGGACATCAGAGGTTGATGTTGATATGCTGTTCTTAATACTGCAGTTCATTATATATTACATTCTTTAATTCGGTTTTGTTAAGGAACTGTGTATATTATCTATATAAACGTGCCCATAACTTAAGGACAAATACAATTGCTAGTGGTGATATCTAAGAAAAGTCACAGCCACTTGGTGACGAGTCTGCCATGACATTGCGAGTGCCGCATTGCAGTTTGAGGTGGACATATTTTGTACTGGTGGGTCTCTTTACCTGGATATCGATAAGCACTTTACATCTGTTCACCAAAGACTTACTTTTATCACTTTGATCTGTAAAATCCAACTAGTTGTTGTGTATTAACCTATGTTAGACATCAAGTAATATGGTTCTTGCTATATTTGTCTGCATTTGTCTACAGTTCTCTCTGTTTGAGTACAAATGTCTGACCTTACTGTTTGAACACATGTAATTAGAATTAAGTTTTTGAGTATTATAAAATAATGAAATTTTTATATATACAGTAAATGTTAGTGATTTCATTTTATTCTTTCTCATTCTTAGTTAGATGATACTATACATAGAAGGAATTCTTAGCTGAGATTACTAAGGTAACTTTCTTCAACTTTCTAGAATTCTTGAGACCCGTGATTTTAAAGAATTTTTGTCTGTTAGCTGGGATTTTTATTATTATTTTGTATTTATTTTTTAGTTTATTACAAAATTATTTAAGTTTGAAGAATTGTAAACCTGTTATATTTGTAAATTAGAATTACTGTTTCTTAAATTTAAATGCTTGTAATATATTCTAAACATTTTAATCTAAGACTGAAGTTTATGTTATTTGAAGGTTCATAAAAGCCATTGAAGACATTAGTCTTTAAATATTGTGTGATTGCAAGGATTACAGGATGATTTTCCATCAGAATAGCTTGAACGTAGAGTTGTAGAATGAATTTCTTTACATAGTTAGCTGACATAAAACTACATAAAGGGTCAAACATCATAAACATACAAATATTTAGAGGATATTTTTAGAGAATATTACATTAAAATATCCAAGCTAGAATGAATTTCAGCACAGTAATAACAATACTATTCTATTCTTTATTGTATGAACCTTAGTTCATTACAAGGGGGTTAAACTATTATATAAAAACTTAAGTTAGTACAATTTAACAAATTAAGTAATAATAATATGTTAAATCACTATTCCAGCACTGTTTTACTCTTCCAACAAATGTTTTTATCTCATTTCACAGCCCTGCCTCGGGTCTGTCTTTAGTTTAAAGTTCCAAATTAGAATGTTAACCGTTCTGTGGTCTATGCTTTTTACATAGTTCTGTATTCTTTAACTCACATAATTGTGTGATAAACTTTGAACTTTAAACTTTAATTAATTTAAACTAAAAAACAGACCTCTGAAAATACTACTATGCTAAGATTAGTAGAAGTATTTTTAGAGGTTAAAATATAACATTTTAGGGAAGAATATTATAGGTAAATGTGCTAAGAAGGGAAAGTTTTACAACTCTTACACAAAATAAATGATGTTTCAAGACATGTTTATAACTAATGTGATGATTTTTTGATAGAAGTTTTTCAACAGAAGTGTTACATTTGTCAAAACTATGAGATTTTCGTTAATTTTAGATTTAATTTTATATAGTCGTTGCATCAAAACTTTGACTTTGCACTGATAATTATATACAATTTATATGTTCAGGTAAATTGCATAACGTGATGGGGTGTTATTCAACTTCTCTGTTACAAAACTCCTTACTTTGATTGAAGATTCGACATAATTTTGTAGTTTGAATCACAGAAATGTGTTTATAAATGATGATTTATATATTGTTTATATCAATTAGTCTCTGTAATAAAAATTAGGACCGTGAAGTACTGGTACTTGAAATGAACAGCTAAAACTAGAATTATAATATAGAAAAGTGCATATAATCTAACCACTATCAAAATAAACAGAAACTTTATGAATATTATATATTTTTTATGGAGATAATGTTTCCACTGAACTAACTGTAACATAATTCTCCAAATCAGTAAGAAACAACCACTTAAATACTATAATATATTAGAAAAATTTAATATCTTCCAAACTGTGTTTACAACCACAGATATTACACAGATAAAAAGAAATTATCAGTGTTACCATGTCACCATGGTGCGGCTAGAAAGGTATTGTGTTCTACTTGTGTATGAATATATAATGTTATTTTTAAGGTTATTTTTGGTACTTTGAGGGGCCAGACATAAACAAATATATCTGATATTTCTTGAAACTTCATTTATTTTGTTTATGGTTTTGGAATGTTTCTTTTGTGATTGGGTCTTTGATATTCAAAATTCTGATTACGTGATTAAGAGCTGCTAATTATACATTTCTTTAGCGATTTAATTTAATAAATTTAATTATTATTTTATATTTTTATAGATTACATACGATGATCCAGATTTTACTCCTCATACACTTTTCGATTTTGGATCGGGGGTTGGATCTGCTATGTGGTAAGAAAATTATAATCATGTTATACAGAGTCTTCCAAAAAGAATGCTATTATTTTAAACTATTGTAATTATCTTAATTATTATCTGAGAATATTGTAACATACATTAAAACATTGCAAAACTGTCCAAGTTTTACATTTGCCCATTACAATTTCTCAATGCTTGAACCTTGTTACAAGGCACACATCCAACCGATGTTCACATTCTTCCTGCACCCACTGCAGCATACTCATCATCACTCCTGCCACTCCTCCTGCAGATTACTCACATTGCACAATTACAAACGATTTTGACTTTACAAACCGCAGAACACAGAATGCCTTCTCTGTTGCAGAGTCACCATTTTCATTTATGGAGCCTTCTAGAGATACCAGATGACAAGATGTTTGAATGCAGATGAGAAATAAAACTTGGACAGTTAATTTATCAATTGGTGTATGTTACATACTTCTCAGATAATAATTTTGACATAATTACAATAATTTAAAATGGTAACATTCATTTTGGAAGAAAGAAGAAACTGTATTTTAGCAGGATAATTTCAAATAGAGGTATTCAAATTATTTTAGGGCTGCTCATTCTATGTGGGGTAACAGTTTAAAAGAATATTTCTGTGTAGATTCTTCAGCAGATATGAATGAAGTTGCTAGATTACTCCTTCAAGGTAAGTTTAACTTTAAAAAATTTACCTCCTCCTTCATTTAATGATCAAATATGTTTAACAGGTGGAAAAGAAGAAGGAGAAATGATTTTTAAAGGTGTTTTCATGCGACAGTTTCTTCCAGTTTCTAGCACAGTAAGGTTTCGTACTTTTAAAGTAAATTTTTTGCATCATTAAATATACAAAATATTTTATTATCCAGTTAAAATATGATTTAGTCATCAGTGCTCACTCATTCTTGGATTTGCCCTCTTCCAAAGAAAGATTAGAAGTTGTCAAGCATCTTTGGAGAAAATGTAACAAATATTTGGTAAATTACAGTTAATATAATTAATTTTGAATTTGTTTTATTATATAATCTTAAAGAAAACTATTGTCATAGGTACTTGTTGATCATGGAAGTAATGCTGGTTTTGATGCACTCATGGAAGCTCGTGATTATATATTATATGTAAGAATTTTACATTTATAACTGTTTTTCTTGTGAAAATAATTTGTTTATATCATAATTTTTATAGTTAGAAAGCAGAAGTTCAAAAATGGCTCATGTGATTGCACCTGTGAGTTTCTTTATCACTTTTGAGGCTTTTCTTGTTATAATTCAATTAATTGTTACATTTAAATTACAGTGTCCTCATGATCATGTTTGTCCTAGACAATTGGATGGCACAGAAACTCCTTGTAATTTTCAAGTTCAGTACGAAAAATTACCTTTAAATAAAGTAAGTATTTAATTATCTTCTCTTTACGTTTATAGTGTATTTAAGTAAATGAAATATAATTAAAACCTAAGTAATTTACTTAAACATCTTTTGAAAATTCAATTGTTTAGTTAGAAAAAAGTCAACTGCACCATTTAAACTGTACAAATTTCAATATAAATGCAAAGTAAAGCACACTAACTCCAAAACTCCAACAAGGAAAAATATTTTAATAAGCAAACAAATGTTTCAGCCATCTTTAACAGTCAATCATTTGGTTTTTAACCAATTAAATTTGAATGGAGATTGCAATTAGAATAAAAGTTTTTAAATAAAAACAAACATTAATTTTATTGGATGCAACAGTGTGTATCATAGATGATGCATATGTATAAGTTCAAATAAATTACTGTTTGTGCTTTTGCGGGGTTGGAGGAGCATCCAGTTATATAAGCAGTTTATTTCTACATAAAGAAAAGCACTTTCATCTAAGCTAAATAGAATGCCTACTAGTGGCCAAGTGAATAAAACCACCAAACACTGGTAATTAATTGGTCATGGGTTTGTGCCTTGCCAACAGAGTGGTTATATGGAATTTTCTGGGTTTTCTTCACGTTTGTAACACCTAAATAGGGGTCACTTCTTCCCAAAAATGCCCAACCTGCCTAGGAGAATGCCTCCTGGGCAGATTGCCCATTTGTTGCATTGCCTTATACAAACAAACCAAACCTAAGCTAACTAGATTGACTATATTACCAAAGTAATAAAGGCGACTTTGGGAACCAGGATCAAATCTGGGAAAGAAACCATAAGAATTTTTTTACAAGCAATTCATCCTAGATGCCAGTCTCGTCCCTTACCCTAGCTGTCTCCATTGTGGACCTGGCTAAACTCTTGATGGATATGATTAAAAGGCCCTCTTAGTACCCATACAGTGGAAAGAGTTAAAACAATAATAATAATAACTAATTAGGCTTCCATATTTAACTACATTCAACGTAAAGAAGAATATAATTGTGTTTTAAGTGGTAGGAATTTTGACAATTTTGTATACTGTAAAAGTGATAAGTTCACATTTTTTATGGAATGGTTTCTTAATGACAAAAATATACCAATTCACAATAGACTTAATTATATGTTATTGTTAAAGGTTAGATTTTTATCTTCTCTGTACTGGAAGGAGGTACAGAGATGAGATTTGGAACTCCACATGATACTTTTTCGAGATGGTGTGAGTGAAGATTTCATTTTCATGGATGATAATGCCTTTGCACATAAACTGCACTCATCAATGATTGTCTTGATAGTAGTAATTCAAACACAAATTATTATTGTATTTATTTTCAGGCACTTGGCAATTTTTATCATCAAATTTTATTTAGTTGATTTTTATTTGATGATAAAAATTGCCAAGTGCCTGAAAATAAATACAATAATAATTTGTGTTTGAATTTCTACTAATAACTACTAGCACGGTTTCAAAGTACCAGATTGTCTTGATAGTGAAGTCACATGGAAAATCCAGCAAGATTTCCAAATCTAAATCTTATAGAATGTGTACGAGATTGTCTAAGGAGTTGAGTTGCATCCCATCACCTCTACTAAGAATGCTCCAAGAGTTTCTAGATGCTCTTGCTCGAGAATGCACTTTGCTATTGACAGAGCTGATAAACGGTGTTATAACCAGTGTGAACTATTACCGTGAAGCATGTTATATTATGAAATTAATGGTCAGAATATCAGATTAGATGTGGAAAGCTTAGGTACCGGAGGCCCCGATTAACTAGATACATGACTTCCGGTCTGAACCAGAAGTCATGTGAATTTTTAAATTAAAATATGATGAAAAATTGCAGCTCGGCATTGTGACAATGTCACAATAAGTAGATGCTCGTTATGTATTACACACCAATAACATGCAAACATTTGCTGTTCATTTTCTTTTAAATCAAATATTTTTAAACAGAAAGAAACATTATTATTAATATCTAAAACTAGAATTCTCTTAACAGAATATAGCCAAATTATTTCAAAATTAGAATATTTATGAAACAGAATCTTAAGATAAACAAATAAAATAAAATTTTGTATATAATTTTAAATATTCTCATAACAGAAATATATCAGTTATTCATCTTTCTTACATTACATGTAAAAAAAATATACACAAACACTCAAAACTATTAAATAAAATGAACTTATATTCAAACTTTTATAATATTTACAGTTGTATCAATATTTCACACAGTTAAATATCTGAATATTAAAATTGTAAAGCTAATTTTCCTCTAGGGACATAATTACTACATAAGGGAGAAAGTATCTTATTTTGTATAGAAAGTGATTACTAATAACCTGAAGGTGATAATCTAAAGTGTTTACTACTATTAATATGTAAATTTTTCGACTATAAATTCGACTTTCATCTATTATCAGGACTTATTATACTGGTTTTACAGATTTTGTAATATTATCTGTAAAACCAGTATAATAAGTCCTGATAATAGATGAAAGTCGAATTTATAGTCGAAAAATTTACATATTAATAAGGAAAAAAGGACATTGAGGCAATTTAATTAAACAAATGTTTACTACTATATTAAAATGCCCTTCAATTTAAGATAGACCAACAACTCGCCTTTAAAAAAGAGGTTTTTAGGAAGAAATTGAATGAAAATTAGAAGTAAATATAGTCTAAAAGAAGTTATTAAAGAGTAACAACATTAAGGTATTTAAAATGCAGTATAATTAACACAAAATATAAAAAACAGATACCATGTTTTCTTGATTCTAATGTGCCATCGAATCTAATGCAAATCTGATTTTTGAGACATCAAAACCCCAAAAAGTTAACTTACAAATGCAATGAATGTCCCATAACACACAGCCACAAAAGTTTAATGTATTCAAATAGCAGTAAATGTCTTTTTGAAAAACATTTCATCGCATTCACAGTGCTTTACGACATTCATATTTTTGAATACATTCATTTACTTTATTATCAGATATAAAAAATCTTTAGACTAACCTAAAATTACATTTTAACAGCGATTTTGTGTCAATATGTATAAGCAAGAAAGTTTCCAGATATGCAGTAAATTCATCTCACTAAAATATCTGTACACAACACACGTACTTCAGCATCGTGGCTAATTCTCCATTTAAACTTAGCTTTATAGAAACCCGTCTGTGAATGTTGTTCACTTGGCTTACTGTAGTTTGAGAGACCATCAAAATCAAAGTTAAAACCAGTGTAGCGAGAGGGATTATAGCACGTCAGTACTGACAACATAATAGAGGAGTGAGGAGTAAACGACATGAACAAGACTGCATGAAGTCAACTTTGTGCTCAATTCTAATGTACATCCCAGTTTTACAGACCAGAAAATTCCAAAAAAGATGCACATTAGAATTGAGAAAACACAGTACAGTGGGTGATCGGTTAACGAACATAATCCGTTCCAAGACTTTGTTCGCTATCCGAATTGTTCGTTAACCGATTATCGATTTACCATAGGTTTTAATGGGAATTTAATTAATTCATTCTGGAGACCGCCAAAAATAAAAAAATATATACTTTCTTACTACGTTTATTTATACGTAATAATAAAAATACATACACGCACAGTCTTGTGTTTTTATTAGTCATGTTTTTTCCGTTTGAAAGGGTTAAAGAATCTGTCTAATGTCGATTGCTTTTCTCTCTTCTTCAGGATTTTTCGTAAGTAATTAATAGCATTGCAATTGTAGAAATCCCCACGCCTCAACCTGGTTTGGATGCCATTCTAAGACCGTTGTTCTGACATCTTCCCATTTCTTCAAAAGATCTTTAATAGCAGATATTGGCATTAATCCTCTTTTTCAGAAGAAAACATATCTCGCCGAGTTTCTTCATTCAAGAGTTATTGGCATTCTTCTGTCGTCAGATCCATTTCAGGTTCCATTATGAACTCTTCAATGTTCTTTATTTCTCAGGTGTGATTTTTGTTACTCCTTTAGCTGCTTGAGTCTTCTTGATTATACAGTATTTTTCTTAAATAAGATTGAACTGCGGCCTACTGTAGACCTGTTCACGCCATACTGCCCAGCAACATTAGGCATCTTTTGCCCACTCTCTACCTTTGCTATTATACTCTCATCTTTTGAAAAGAAAAATAGGCTCAAAACTTAACGAGTGCCCGCACGACAGTCTCGTGAATACATAAAAGAATTATTTTGTCAGAAAAATAAAAAATCAGCTGGAATTACAAGGGAGAGTTTCAAAGTTCGGAGGAATACTATCCGATTGGTATATACCGGCTTGAGCGTCGATGTCAACGTCTCCCGCACTCTGAAAAGTTTCGAATTGTTGCCCGAAGACAAGAGAAGACCAATCGGTATTCATTATTTTACGTCGCTTCTTGTGTTCGTTCTGTGTGGTGTTCGTTATCCGATCATGTGTTCGTTGTCCGAACACAAAAATCTTTCGCGAAAGTGTTCGTTATCCGATTTGTTCGTTATCTGATCTGTTCGTTAACCGATCACCCACTGTATTTATAATATAAAAGTGCTTTTTTTTAAATGGATTCACTTGATAAGCATGTATGTGTCCTTTCCATCATTGTTTAGCTACAGTTCGGTATCTTTGTATATTTTTTTATTATGTTGCTTACATTTCCTATCGTATGAGAACATACATTTTAAGTGTGAGCAATGCAATACCATAATATTCCAAACTATAGTATTTTATTGTTATAGAGCAAGATTGACCTAAGCATGGGCATCTGCAGAAAATTTTTCAGGGGGATAAAGCTTGGAGACAAATAATTACATTGAAAAAATCAATAAATTTTTATTTAATTATTTAACGTTTTTTCCTAGAAGTATATTATAGAATACAGTATTACATCAATACATAAAAACAGACACTGTATCCCATGATCAACTGCGTAATGTTAACATATCTCAATCACTTTTATGATTATAATTTGTGGAATGTTTTTACTCAATTCTAGGGGATAAGTGCCTCATTCGCCCCCTCTTCAGGTGCCCATGGGCCAAACTGTGGCTTGAGAGTTCTTGAATGCTAATGGAATGAGTCTGCAACATAGTTAACCATTCAGAAATTGAGATAGAAGCTTATATAACCACTATTTTAACTTTTCAAACATGCTAAAAATACCACATTAGAAGGGATAAATAAAATCACATCAACATCTGTGCAATAAATACCAAAATGTAGCATTGTTGTGGTACTAACATTACAGTATTCTAACGTGTTACCACATCATTGACACAAATACAAATAACGTGTTACCACAAGGACGTTCAACTAGAGTTGCACACTGATACACAAATACACAATGAAATAACTTCATTGCATATTTGTGTAAAGTCTATTTTTTAGCTTGAATGATCTATCCGTACAAACAAATTCGTTACATTATTTTTACAATTAATATACTTTAGCTGCATTTCTACATCGAAAAACACTTTCGTAATGGCATTTTTATTTGCAGAAACAAATGAATGCATTCGAAACATATTCGTACGTTATTCTAAAGAAAGAATCAAGATCAGAAGGTATATATTATAATTTTGTATTTATATAATCAGAGAATGCAAATAATCATATAATTTTAAAATATATATGAGATAATATTAAATTAAAAATAATATATAAAAATATTTATAAATAGAAATAGATCCTTGGCCAAGAATTGTAAGAGCAATTCTGAAGAGGCATAAACATGTTGTCTGTAGAATGTGCTGCTCGGATGGAAAATTACATGAAATTGTGTTCACAAAATCAAAACACGGCAGGTAAGAATTATATTTATTTTAATCTAAAAGGGTAACAAAGTTAATTACTTTAATAATAAATGCAGTAGAGTCTTCGTAATTCGGCATATATTGGATTGGTGGGTGTCGAATTACAGCAGATTTTCAGATTACTGGATTTTGTGTGTGTGTGTGTGTGTACTGGTTCACAGGTTAGTTTATTATATTAATCATGATTGTGAATGTTTTGCCAACCACACATACAATAAACAACTAGCGACTGGCAGTATAAGCATACGTCAGTCTCTCTCTGTCACATACATTATTGGCAAGGAGCAACACGAAAATTCATGTGTCAGGTTACTGGACTTGTGTGGACTATAGAGACTATTGTATTTAATTGTTATGAATACAAAAAAATTAAGTCTGATTAACTGGATTTCTTGATTATTAAATTATCAAATTTACTCCAAAGACAATACAAGACTGCAAGCTAATTGCCTAATATTAATTAAAATTAAGTTCAAAAAATTGTCAAGAATGATTGATTTGGAACAGGATTCAAATCCAGAACTGTTTACAGATTCTACATCTGTTTACTTTGCAGAAGTTGCAAGTTTCAGTCCCACAATTTTCTAAATGATTTAATTAAATTAATTTTTAATTATAAATAAACTATTTAAACTTTTATCTTGAAAGTATCTTTTAATTGTAATAATATCCAATTGATAAATGAAATTTTCTTTTCTGGTTTAGGAATTTATATAGATGTGCACGATCTTCACAATGGGGTGATTTATTTCCTGGAACGATAGTTCCAATGTCAGAAAACATAGAAAATATAGAAGATTAAGTATGGTTTTTTTATGTTAATAAAATTTTATTAATTTAAAATTTATTTTTGTTTGATGGTATGAAACACTGAATGTTTATATTCCAGTTATGATAATATATCTATCAAATTCCAAACTGTACAATTAGTCAATCAAAAATCTTGAGAATGGCAATACAGTACCGGACCAAATATATGGCAAGCTTGGGACTGGAACTGGTTTGGATTTCTGAACTTGACCTAAATATATACTTAAAATATAAAGTAAGCAGTAGAAAGAGTAAAATTGTATTTAACAGATACAAATTAATAGACTAAAGCAGGGTCTTAAAATGTAGACTATGTATAGTGTTAATATATAAGATGAAAACTTAAATAAAATTATGTTCTTTCATTAACATATTTATTAATCATTTAAAACTTAAAATGTAGAATATACAGTATAATGTAAACATTGTAGGACGAAAATCAAATGAAGGAAAGTAAATAATAAAACTTAAATTCTGACAAATAAATGCTCAACTGCAAGAGGATCATCCATAAACATTGACAGTCACACTGGAACTGACACTGTGTCAATGGATATGGCACAGAAACTAAAACAAAGCTGCCACGGTAAATTGTAGCTATACAAAGCCTGCCAAATTCAAAAGTAGTCAGTTTTCTGGTAATTCTGGATTTCTGAAAGCTGGATACTTGGTCTGGTACTGTATCATAAATCACAAGCAAAACAGATTCTTTTATTATAAGGATTAAAGTATACAAAATTTATTTATTGGAATTTTGATGAAGATACAGCAGTGGTTTGAAGCTTGAATCCTGATTGCTTTACTTTGGTCTGACTCTCAAATTCATTCAATAATTTACCTGACACCCAATCTTACATTAAAGTTTAAGTAAATTATTAGATATCAGGAATTTTAGAAACTTGTTCAAGGTGCACTCAAAACCACAAAAAAAAAATTCCCATTGTTTCTTTGTAAGAAATTTTCCCTGTTCATTTTTAACTTCTTACAAGAAGAATTTCAAATGAACAGGAAGCAATTACAAAATTAAGTAAACAATAGTAAACAGTCTATTTCAGTTTTAATTTCTGTAAAAATTCAATGAAAAACAATAACAATAACACTACACCAAATTCTTGATTTACGAGGGCTGTTCGAAAAGTTTGCGGCCTTGCCTATATGCGGCGCTGCGGTCAATTTAATTTTTGGCGGGAATAATTCAGCCATCCTTGCTAAATATACGATACCAATTTCCACTTGATTTGTCGTAAAGTTTTGCCACGACAGCTTAGCAGATAGTCAATGTGCACATGCTTTGTCAAAAATGGAGAAGATGGAGACTCGTGCGGTCATAAAATACCTGACGAAAAAAGGGTTGACCGCATCTCAAATCAAAGCTGACATGGATGAAGTTTTGGGAGAGTCTGCTCCTTCGTAAACCACTGTGAAAAAATGGACAGCCCTTTTTAAATCTGGCAGAGAGAGTGTGAAACATGACCCTCGCAGCGGACGGCCGTCAACTGCTGTCACTGAAAAAAATATCGACAAAGTTTACGATTTGGTGTTAGCAGATCGCCGTTTGAAAACGCGTGAGATAGCTGAGACAACAGGCATCTCTGTCGACCGAGTGCACCACATCTAACCGAAAATTTGGGTATGACGAAGGTCTCAGCAAGTTGGGTGCCGCATCTGCTGACCGCTGAGCAAAGACGTGTTCGCACTTTGATGTCAAAGAAGTGTTTGGACTTCTACAAGAAAAACCCACGGGATTTCTTGCGTCGGTTTGTGACTACTGACGAAACGTGGATCCATTACTACACTCCTGAAACAAAAGAACAGTCGAAGCAATGGAAACACCCCAGTTCGCCACCACCAAAGAAGGCAAAAACAGTTCCATCAGCGGGGAAAGTGATGGCCTCGGTTTTTTGGGGATGCTAAAGGAATCATCTTTATTGACTACCTAGAAAGAGGAAAGACCATCAATGCTGTCTATTACTGTATACTTTTGGAAAAACTGAAGAAAGAAATCGAAGAGGCCACACTTGAAGAAGAAGGTTCTGTTTCACCACGATAATGCCAGAATCACTGAACAAAAAATAAACGAACTTAGCTTCCAATTAGTTCCACATTCACCGTACTCACCTGATTTGGCCCCCAGTGACTTCCACCTTTTTCCAAATTTAAAATAATTCTTGGTTGGAAAGAGATTCCACTCAAATGACAAAGTCATCTCTGAAGTAAACGAGTATTTTGCACACCTTGACAAATCGACCTATTGTAATGGCATAAAAAAGCTAGAACATCGCTGGAATAAGTGCATTGCTAACAAAGGAGACTACATTGAAAAATAATAAAAGTTTTAACATTATTTTGTTTGTTGTTCTATTTGAGGCCACGAACTTTTCGAACAGCCCTTGTAAGGGATTTCAACTTAAAATTTTGAAAACAAAAGTCGATATTTTCTAATTCAGCATTTCCTATAATTAAATGGATTTAAAATTATTTTATGCTGTAATTTATTTTTTATTGTAATTTTCTATTGCTTAGTTAGATAATATATGTAGCAAAATTTGTAGTTTCTCATATAAATATAGTTTACAAAAGTCAAACAATAAAGTTTTGTGTTAAAAGTTCAAGAGCCGATCTTGGACGGGGCAATTTTTAATTCATTTAATAAAATTACCAATGTAGATATTAAAGCAATAAACCTTTTACATAATTAATTAAACTAAGCTACATAAACTTACAACATACAAATGTAACAAAATCAAAAAATAATGATAAAAAAAAATGTTAAAACATAAATGTATTATTTTAAAGAAATAATGAAGTTTGGGCCAATAAAACTCTCAAGTATGATTGCTTTTGTTGCCATTCCTTGATCCACTACTGTTGGAGACATACACAGCAGGCAGGATCTGGACACCCCAGACAGAGTACCAGGAGAATGATCATCTTGATCAGTGCTCCCAGGAGTGGGTGCTACTGCTCCCCTGTGAACAATGAGTAAATCTAAGAGGGGAAAGAAGAAAGTGAATGGTAGAGGGCACTAGAGGCAGGGTACCAAATGGTAACCATAGGCATAGGTTAGGGTCACTGTGACAACCTTTCCTTTTCCTTTGTTAAAATGGGTAAGAAGAAACATTGTGTTTAATGGTGTGGAGAACAATGTACAGTAATTGTAAAGTTTATAGAAAAGTTTTTCTAAGAATATTTCCAAGCCTTTCTCACACAAGGAAAAATGGGTATTGGGTATAAGTGGGTATAAGTATAATATGGAACCAAGGAGGCAGTGGCTTGAAAAAGTTTGGAAATCACTGGTCTAGATCATCTCTCCTGACATTCTGCATAGTGTGTTCAGATTGTGGGGCAAGCACCGACAGCTACAATGGCATCATTGTCCACTATCCTATCCAGGTAAGAGTAGAAGTCTCACTACAAACCCCTGTGTATTGTACTGTTGTCAGGTGACTAGCACCAGCAAAGTTCTCATGGTAACCACTACATATACTACCATTAGCAGCCCAAAATCATTGGTTTCATATGAGTTGTGCCATGAAAGAGAAGCCTGGACTGCTACAGACTGGCAGCATATTGTCTTTAGCAATGACCCCAAATCTCAGAAACCCACAAACTAATATGGTGGTTGTCTAAGTCTACTGGTAAGTGCTTCAATCCTATCTTAATATCTACTGCTGATATGCTGGTCTGGAAAGCCATAACCTGCAACAGTTGTCTGTTGCAGGATATGACATTATAGTATTGTCAGAGATTAAATCACATGTTTCTAAGTGTGTACTAAGTAAGATAAAAATGCAAATGACTCATTAAATCAGTTACGGTTCCTCACTGTACTTTCTCACTTATTAATATATAGATAATGTTTTATTTTACATACTTTTAGATAATTTGTTTTTAGCACTTCCCATATTGCTCAGCATGTTTCAGGAATTTTGTAACTTAATGCTTGTGGTGAAATTATAGTTGAAAATTTTAAATCTTTGTAACTTCTTCTGCAGAAATTGCAGGATAGCTGTGTGTGCGGTTATAACATTTCTCATGATCGTATCTTAAAGGATAAATGGGTGCTAAAAGATTCAAGTAGTTTCTTCATTCACAAGTAATTACGACAATATATTTTCAATTCCTTTAATAGTTCAAGTATATCTGTGCTGTGTGGCAGTCATATATACTTGTACATGCATACCATTCAAGTATGCAATTACTGGCTTTAGACACATGAAGACTCTGCATAGCCAGCCTGTCTGGTTCAAACCCACAAACAACTTTTGATGGTGTTATCCATTCGGCCACTGGTGAACCCCAGTCCTTCAGAGCAACTTGTTCAAAATTTGTTGCTCCGACAGTTGTCAACCCTATTTTAAATAGATTATAATGTAAAATACAATACCTAGCCACTGCTATGGTTATCTCGAAACCATAGTCTCTCTGTACGTGCAATTAGGTGGAACATAAGTAAACGTTAGGTATCATGAAAAAACAAAACAGCCTTTTTTATTTTGGAAATATTTAATTAATACTAATAAGATTAATGTTAGAAGAGAATAGAGTAGAAGAGTTTAAAATTGAAGTAATAGAATATTTTAAAGGTTTGTTGAGCTAATTAATTGAAAAATAATTATTAATAAATTAAATATAAGAGCTGAAGCATGAAAGGCAGTGGGGAACCATTATGCATCTGTATCTCCCCAAGATTTGATGAACAGAAGATTTAGAAATAATCCATTTAGGAGAGAAATGGATAGGATCCCTGTGCAGTTGGCTACTGGGGAGAGGTGCAGCAGACTTATGCTGGAATTACAGGAAGTACACAGATGAAATGAAAGAAATGCTTTAAATGACACTACAGGATCAGTCATTTAGAACTCTTGGAGTGGATACAAAAATTCTGCACAGCTATGCAAACCTATGAGAAATGCATTAACATATAAAGATCTAACATTCCAAATACTGTACAGTATCTATCAAACAGGAAAGATGGCAAATATAATGGATGAAACAAAACGACTGAAGATCTCAATCTTAGGGACCTCCGAAACAAGATGAGCTGGAAAAGGAGATATAACACTGATGAAGAAATAAAATTCATCTACTTAGGAGGAACAAAACATCAACAAGGAGTTGGAGTGATGTAGAAAAGATGACCAAATTGGTTGATGGATATTGGCAAGTATCTGATAGGATATAGCACTGATAGTTAGATGCTAAACCAAGGGGCCTTTTCTTAATCCAGATATACATGCAACAAATGGCTACAAGTTAAAAAGAAGAGAGATGTAGTGATTATTATGGGGGACATGAACGCCAAGATTGGAAGAGGGAGAGGAGATAATGTAATTGGACATGGGACTTAGGAGAAAGAAATGACAGTAGTAGTAAAATTGTTGAATTTTGTAGAAGAACCAACATGATTGTAACTAACATCTGGTTCCAACAGCATGAAAGATTAGCTATGTGGAGACTCCAGGGTTAAGAGGAGCATAAAGAAGAAATGAAATTGATTATATTCTAGTCAACTACAGATTTAGAAATGCAATAATTAACACAAAGACTTATCCAGGTACAGATTGCAACAGTGATCATAGTCTACTGGTAAAACTAAGAATAAGGCTGAAACATATTAGGCCAAAAAAAAAGCAAAAGAATGGCTCAATATAGAGATGTTGAGGAAAGACTGCATCAAGACTTTTAAGGCTGACATATTGAGAAGACTGCAAAATTTCAACACTAACAGAAGCAAAGAAGAAATCTGGAATGATTTGAAACAAAAATTTAAAGACACTGCGGTTGACATCCTCAGCAAGAAAGGGAGACAAATAAAGAAGCATTGGGCCACAGAGGAGATGGTAAAAAAAGATGGATGAAAGAAGATGATACAAAAATGCTAATAACAAATAAGAATAATGTGCAAACAGGCAAAGGAAAAATGGTTGAATTAATTATATCTGGAAATGGAGCACCACACAAATGGGACTGACTTAAGAGAAGTATATGAAAAGCTAAGGTTAATCTCAGGGAAAAAGAAAATGCAGAATTGGAGCTCTTGAGAGATGAAAATGTAAACATTTTATGAACAAGTGCTACGATGGAAAAGATACATAGACAATCTCCACAGAAATGAGGACAGTTTAAACCTAGAAGGAATGGAGGAGAAAGAAGAGAGTGCAATCTTTCTTAAGGAAGAGATTGATGCTGCATTGAAAAAGCTGAGGGACAGAAAGGCACCAGGAATAGATGAAATACAAAGAGAACTCCTTAAAGCTAAAGATGGAACAATATTCCTAAGTAATTTTTTAACAGAATTTTAGAGGCAGATATTCTAGATGATTTCACAAAATCTATCTTCATCCCTGTTCCTAAAACTGTGATAAACACAGAACTATTAGCTTGATAAGCCATGCCTCAAAGATTTTAGTTAACATCATACAGCAAAGAATAGAAAACTATGAGATGCATTCAACTTATAACACCTCTGATTTTTTTTTCTCAGGACAGGAAACAGATATAATGCAACCCTCTGTAGAGGACACCTTGTGAATGAATGTAAAATGTCAAATTTCAATAATTTCCGATATCAGTAACATTAAACACTGCAGGACCGTGCCAATAGATGAGGCATCAGACACCAAATTGGAAGGTATACTAAAAAGGCATCACATTTATAGAAATATACAAATGTTGCTGTTCTTAGGTTTATTTCAAGTACCAAGTGTGTTCAGAATGGTCCTATTGAACAGTAATTGTTCTTCCTACTTCAATATTAGAAAATATTGCATCAGGACTATTGGATCATCATCAAACATCACTCCAGTGCATTGTAACATCAGTAGTCATGTCATTTAGTTTTGGTTACAATAAGAATGTGAGAAATTAAATTTAGAGTCAGTAATATTCTATAATTGCTGGTGGTCCATAGAAAATTGTTATAAGGGCCAGTTTCCCCAACACCTAGAGTCTAGGTGTTAAAATTTTCCTGATAAGGAAAGCAGAGTGACAGTAGTGTTGCATTCTAAAAATTCATTATTTACATGCCTAAAGTCAGACTTGGCTTACTCAATACCGGAAATCCTTGTTAATTTGAACTCTAATAGTTCAAAATCCCATTAGTTCATAACTGTACTTTTGTCCCGGTCGAGAGTATAGAGATTTACGTGTTTGGTTAGTTCGAAATATGGCTATTTTGCAATCGTGAGTGAAAATTCTGCTCGAACTGTGGTATGTGTATGTTACTTCAATCTAAACAAACAAGTTATCTTCATGCTATAAGAGAACAATAGACCAAGAACAACTGTAATCTGGTCAACATGACTTTGCTTTTACAATAACACATTGTTTCCTTACACATGGACTAACCTTTTCTTCTCTTATTTCATAAAATATGGTTGGGTTTCAGAATTGCAAGATTGGGCTACAAGTAGCAATTTTAGATATTTGTAGGCTGTTACATTTGGGCAACTTACTGTTGTTTGGGCCATTTTAAAAATAATTTGAGTTACATTTTGAGGAATTCTGCTTTAATTTGTATAAAACTTATCTGGCAACCTGTGAAGTTCTCGCCAAACTCGTGCTGTTTACCTGCAGTTTATTTATTCGGCTGCAATTTGAAAAAATTGTAGACCTGTAAATTCCCACTGTTGTCCATCTGTCTTTCCTTAATCTTGAGAACAAAGTTAGATAGATGAAAGACAAGACCAGATGTGGAAACCTTAGGGCAGGAGGCTCCAATTAACTATATATGAACTTCCAACGCAAACTGGAAGTCACGTTATTTCAATTCAAAACGTTTCCCCTGAAAGCAGCTAATAGATTAACAGCACAGTCGTGCCAGTTAAGAAAAAGTACGATGTACAGGGGCAAGACACTACAGTACTAATTTGAGGTGGAGAGAATAAATTTAAAATATGGTTAAAAATTGCAGCCCAGCATTATGACAATGTCACAATAAATGATTGCTCATATTACTACTAATTAATAAAAATAGCATTCTGTTTAAGTAGTGTATTATTCCATTTGCATATTATACAGAAATATATAAATCTTCGATAATTCGAAACTCAATATTAACATTATTGTTTTTCCATTTCATGTGAAAATTTTAGTAGTAATAATTCTTTAACCAATGATCCAAAACTTGCACGTAAGATTCATTAGATCAAAAACAGAATAAGGAAATTAATAAACATAAAATCTACAAATTTCAATTGTCATTATTTGTAATAAGAAATGATAAAATTTTGATATTAGTAATAAAATTTTATTTAAAAAAATTATTCCTATACAATAATCCTGTCAATTTATATATATAATATATAATTAAAAATAATGAACACAAGCATTTAATTATTACATAGCAGTTATGTAATACACTTAAGTGGAAATCTTTCTACTAGCAAAGGAAAAGTCTCATACTTCTGAAGCGAGTCTCTTGGAGCGCAACTTGGTTGCCAGGTGAGGAGACTGGGGCTGTGTAAGCTTAATGGAGCTCGGTTGTATTTCCAATGGGACGTAGTGTTTGACCGGGCGGGCTCTGTGGACGATTTTGGCCCGATATCTGGCGATCTCTTCCAGCTCTTCTTGTTCTCTTTCCTGTAACAGTTTCTCAAATTCTGCCTCTCTCTCTCTTTCTCTCAGATTTTTTAAGTATTCAAATTTCTCTCTCTCTGCTGCTCGTCTTTCCGTATTTAGATAAATACTTGTCAAATCTGAAACAAATCTTTGTGAATTTTTTGCATTGGAGTTCCGATCTTTTAATTATTGCTAATGATTCAATCTCCTTGTTAAATATATTTACCTGAAAGTGGTTTAGTAGATTTCTCAGGCACGAATGGAGATTTATAAAGGACATTACTCGGTTTTGCTTTGAAAATTCTTGCTTCGTTTTCCCTATTCATCTCCTCTTCGATCTATCAAAATTAAATATAAAAAAACATTTAAAGTTACAGAACTATACAAAATAACTAGAAGCTATATAGAACTCTAATCTTATCAGTTACAGATTTTAAGTATTACTTCATTCAGCATAATTATCCAATTTTATCAAAAGCAAAAATGAAGTTGGGGAAAGTTCTATTCAGAAGCATAAATTCATTATAAGTATTTGATATGTACTGTACTTTATCTCTCCAATAATCACATATACATGCACTAACACACACACTTCTCTGCTCTCCTGGAGCTCAAAAACGAAATATTGAACACTAAATATATAGTTTCTACTAAAGCAGAGTTCACATTGGCATAAGAACTGCTTGTTTGACCAGTTAGGGATATCTCAACTTTTGTCAAACTTCGGATCATCTGACCAATTGCCTTTTCACAACTAGTATTCAAAACTTTTTGAACCAATCATATCCTAACTTAGGTTGTGTCACACAGTGTTTGTTTCGTCTGTAGTGGTTCGTATGACAAGGCTTAAATGAGATTTAGAGTTAGAATCTGCATTGCACTTCTGCCACAACAATTTTGATATCTCCACAGAGCAAGGATGTGTACCAAAAAAGTGTGTAATTGTTACATTATAATTTATAGTATTTTATACACAAAAACATTCGTGCGTAACTACAAACTAGGCCAGTGAAATTAAAGTAGAATCAAGCTAACAAATGTTAGAATTCTTACAATGAATATGGTTGATTCCAATGTCTTTATCTAATAAACACTTTGAGTATTACTAACTTACAAATATTCCTTGGATGACATTTGATAAATACTTACTTCTTTTTGCCATTTTTCAAGTTTCTCTTTGCTACGTTGCTCCATAAGAAGATTAAATGGTTCTGCTTGGGTGCACGGTTTTTTAGGAACCGAAGGAAGATTATCAGAATAATTAGGCATAGGCTGGGCATGGAATTCTTCCACCTTTGTAATTAAAATAATAATAAAAATATTGTATATGTTTATGAATTAAAATTTCTGTACCTTTTTCTGATGTAGTAGCTCTTCCTTAATTTTCATTGCTTTTAATTGCCACCGTTCCCTGTCTCGATCTTCAAAACTAAATGGTTCTAAAACAGTTCTTTTTGTATCTAGTTTAGGCCGAAATGGAACACCTACATGAGGTAGTGGTCTAGATTTGAATGTGTGAATTAAAGAATTTTCTTTCTGAAAAGGAAATTTTGGATTTTATAAAATTTCTATAATATAGAATGAAAATATTATAATGACAAACCTCTTCGACTTTTTGTTCTTTCCACATTTCGGCTCTATGTTTCAAATGAAGATTTGGAGATTTTGGTTTGGTGACTGGCAATTCGGTTCTCTCTTTTATACCCTATAATATGGAAAATATTTTAAATTGTTATTGTTATTGATATATAAGACTTGTACATTTTTGAACAACTACAAACCACGACTCCTTTCAGAATTTTTTCCGGAACGGGATTTGCGTGAAACTGAAACGGTATGTCGTCATCTCCGGGCCGAGATCTCTTTCTCAAAAAATATCTCTCTTTGGATTCTGGTTTGCCGCTTTCATCTGTTGTTCTTGAGATATTCTGGGAACAGCTCAATATCTTTGGATTGATGGCAGTAGCTTTAAATTTATAGCTAGATAAAACATTTTTTTTGTATAATCACATTTAATAGAAAATTTGTTTTTTAATAAAGATTTTATCAAAGAGAGAGAGATTTAAGGCTCTTAATTAATTTCACTGCATGATGTTAACAGAGCTAAATCGTTTTACTCAAGGAGAGTTTAAATTTTGTGGAAATTTAAAAATAAAGAATATTTATTTTTTGCTGTTACAGTGCATCCCAAAAGTATATATAATAAAACAGAATTGTAAAATTTTAAGCATAAGGAACTTAAAATTACGAAAATAAAGCATTACTTGATGTTATTTATTATTAGCTTTGTTGTCAAGTAATAATTTGAATATTGAATCAAAACTTTCCAAAATGCCACATAGAAAAGAGTATAGTATGGAAAAAATTGCATGAGAACAGATCTGCTATCTCAAAGGGATAATCGAATTGTGTGCCTTTCACTACAACAGGATAAATCAGTTTGTCAAATTTTGTTTGAAAGTGAATTAAAAATATCAAAAAGCACTATTTATCGAAGAATTTTAGCAGTTCCATATATGAAATTTGTTGCCATGATGAAAAAACAATCACTAACAAAACAACACAAATTGGCAAGAATGCAGTGGGCTAAAGTTCACATGCTGTAGAACAGGGGTGGCCAACAAGTCGATTGCGAACCAATTTTGGTCGATCGCTCACGTCGTCTTGACTTCTTAATATGTTACACTTGTAACTGAATGCAACGTGCAAATGCAACTGTAGTGATATCAGATCCCCGCGTCCTCCCTCAGATGTAGCAGTTTTGTCGGTCCATGTGCAATCTATTCGTGTACAGTTGTAAAAGGGGAGAATAAGAAATGTAGACAAAGGGTCATAAAACCAAAAAAAAGAAAGGCGGTTAGAGGGACAGAGAGTAGGTTGTGACATGGTAGAGATGAAGGGTGAAGTGGTGGTCCTGAAAGTCTCAACGTTGAGTTTCAATTTTTCTTCTGTTTAAAATTAAATTGTGGCTTTTCTTACCTATCTAAACATAGTATGTATTTCACACCTCCCCTCACCACTTAGACTATGCCTACAACAACAAGTCAATCACAACACATTTTTAAGATAAAAAGTAGATCTTATGTACACAAAAGTTGGCCACCCCTGCTGTAGAATGACCAGTGGATCTCAGTTCTTTTCAGTGATAAAAAGAAACTTAATTTGGATAGTCTAATTATTAGCATGAAATTAGGAAAGAAGAGTGCAGTTTATCAGCAGGAAAAAGGGTGGTGGTTCTGTTATGGTGTGGGGCTGCTTTGGATTTAATGGTTTATCAAATTTTGTGATTTTAACTGGTAGACAGACATCTAAAAATTATCAAGAAATCCTAAAAAAATAATTTAATACTTATTGGAGAAGAAATTGGAGGACCTGATTGGATTTTCCAAGACAATGCCAGTATTCATTGTTCACACTCAACTAAATGGCCAGCAAGAAGCCCGGACATTAATCCGACTGAGAACTTGTGGGGCATTCTTGCTTGAAAAATTTATGCTAATAACAGGCATTTTTATGACTGTTTCAGAACTTAAACAAGAAATCATTGAGTGCTGGTTTCAAACAGATCCAGAAATCTTACACAATTTAATTATTTGAAGTTATTAAACACAATGGCAGTTCTATTTCATATTAAAACAATTTTCATCAATTTATGTTATGAACTATTGCTCAAAGTTTAAAATTTATCTATTTTTGGGACATCACAAAACAAGTACTTTGTGTTTAACACTTTGTTATATAATTATGTAATGGTCAAATATTGTAAAAACATTGTATTATGCTACAAACAAACAATAATAACCATTCGCATTGTTAAGAAATACTTAATCTATATGTTTTAATTTTTTAAAAAATATCTATATTTTTGGGCGCACTGTATTATATAGTTCAAACTGTATTTCCAAGAACATAATCTCAATTTATGATAACAAACCTACAGGAAGCCATAGCTTGCTTTATGATGATTCACTTGAGTTTTCTAGAAACCAATTAGATCAAAATGGAGGACTACTGTAACAATTTTTTTTTACAAATAACTCTATTCTTTCCATTTAAAGTGAATTTTACCCTGCAGTTTAATTTTATTTACACACTTACTTTACTTGTTATCTATGTCTTGAGATAAATTTAACTAGCAAACTATGGTTTAGTCACACACAAAAGGCATACAAGAAAGGCTCACAAAAAGGTGGAGCAAGATGATTGAGCAAAGTATAAACAAGACAACCTTCAAAATAGTATGGAGAGAAAAGGATTGGAAGAAAAAGAAAGAGCTGTTTATTGCAGACCTATCTAACCATTTCTACCCCAGCTTTAGGGTGACTGAGCAGTTAGGGTTGTAGCTTACCTCTCTAGGAACTTGGGATCAAATCCAGAGGGGTCATAAACCCCTGAAATTTTTCAGGGGTGGTCTATCTGGATATGTTGGGCTCAGTCCCTCACCGCCCAGCACCCCATTGTGGGCCTGGACTTGCTAGAAAAAGGGAAGCTCTTTTATTTTTTGTCCTGTGGAAACTAAGAGTAAGGCTAATTTCTTTTTAAATTATTTAAGACGAAAAGGAGAAAATAAATAATAAAATTAACTTCTGTTGGATTGGGATTTTTAAATTCTGTAACAATTGCCAAATAAAGATATCTTGGGAAAATACATTACATCTTTTTTTTTGTGAAATGTATCAATACATTTTATTACTGTACATAATAAAATGATATTTGCTTACCTTTTCATTTCTTGTAATAGAAGCTCTTCTCTTTCGGCTTGACTGAGCACGTTTACTGGACGGCGTCGAGACATGGCACGTAACTTGGGTGTCTTTGGAATGGTTAGCAAATTACCTATAAACACATGTGAATTAAAACAAAAGATGTAATAATGTAAATTGTTACTTTTTGTTTCAAAAATTTAAATTTCTTACCTTTTTCTTCTGTATTTTTAGCCAAACCGCCAAACTTATCGAATGCCCCTCTCTGAAAAGCTTCGATCTGTTCGGCAAGCGTTTGATAATTTTCCTGATTGTCTAATTTTCTCTTTCTATTTTCTGTTAAGTTGAATGGAATTGGTACAGTCAGTTCTTTATCGTGATATTTCTAAAAAAAATAGAATTATTTTTCAGAAATTATAGAACGGTTATTTGAAATATAACTTTTAAACAAATTATACCTGAGAAACAGGAGAAGAGTTACTTCTTAGAGTGGAGATGAAATCTCTTTCCCGTTCACACTTCTTTTTCCCGGAACCTTTTATTCTTTGATCTGTTGCAAAATTAAATGGCTTAGCGACCGTGTGATATGCCTGTGATGAACTATTGCCAACAGATGTATTGGCAGGCTGCATCATGGCTCGCTTCATTGACTGCTTGGCCATTTCGCGATGGAGTGATAATTGTTGTCTCAGGTCGGCAATTTTTTCCATTTCTAATTCCTCTGAAGACTTAATATTCTTTGAAGACTTAGCAGCAGCAGTTTTCCTATTATTATAAATTATATTAAATTTTTATAAATTGAATTTTTATTCCTGCAAAAACAACTTACTTTGAACACTGAGGAGTGGCAAGTTTTTTGGCTACTTTTCTCAAATCGTTTAGATTTTCGGAAGACGCACTTTTGTATTGAATCTTCTTAGCCGATTTCCGAGCAGATCTTCTCAAACTGCTCGTAAGACTTCTGCTCTTCATGCTTCGGATGCTGCCAGTTAATGCTTTAGACAACTGCAACGAGGGAGTATCTTTCTTTCCGGCTAATTTGGCTTTCTTACTCTTTGGAGTAGTCTTTTCCTTCGGAGTTTTGGCCGGAGTCCGTCGTAAATTATACAATCTGTTAAGATGTTTATTTCCAATTGCTTGCAGTCGTGAAGAGATTGTAGATTTCTTATTATTTGATTTTCTCTTCCTGAAAAATTTTATTTCAAATCAGAAATAAAGTATCTATAATTCCTTAAATGCTACAAATAATTTTATTTAGTAAATAACCAATTACTTACTGTTTGGAATTTATCTTCTTTTTCTCATTTTCATCATTAGATGACAAGATCTCAGTCAAATTTTCTGGAACCTTAATATCTAAAAACAATGATATCTTTATGTATAAATTTATTATTATTATTATTTTAATTTTAATAAAAATCTAATTAAACCACAATATCTAAAATCACTAAAATACTTTCAATCAAGGAACACAAACAAACTTTGTTGATATTGTCATTTTAATTTGTATTGATTATGTTCAATTTTGAATATGTCAAGTTCTCTGGTGAGCATTATTCTATCAAAGTTTGAAAAGGTTTACAAATAAAGCATGTATTTCTCTACGATATCGGCACTGATGCATACGTGCAATTACCTCAATGAATCTATAAGGCCCTGTACACACTAGGCGTTTTTCAACGCGCGTTAAACGCTCGTCGAATGCCGAGCTAACGCGCGTTAGCTCGGCGTTTGACGAGCGTTTAGCGGAGCGTGCGCACTGGCTCGGTTTGGAAATGGATGTGGAAGTGATTGCTTGTGTGTGGCTCCTCTATCGTCGCTATAAAAGACGACGGCGGAGGCAAAGAGAATTTTGGGTGCACCCAATATTACGAGATAGACTGACACATGAAATGTTTGCGACGTTGTATCCAAAACTAAGACAAAATAAATTCAAGTTTTTTAATTCTTTTAAAATATCTATAAAATCCTTTGACGATGGTTGGTCTCTTTTAGATTTCATCAATAAATAGATCAGTATCGAAATGATCGTTCTCCATTTCAGCACATATATCTCAAAGCGCTCGGCTGACGCCCGCAAAACGCGCGATCGCATGTACGGTAACATGGCAGCACATATATCTCAAAGCGCCCGTAAAGCGCTCGCAAAACGCGCGTTTTAACAAAAATCTATAAGCGCTCGCAAAACGCGCGTTTAACGCGCGCTTGGCTTTTGAGTGTGTACGGCTACATAGAACTCTTGGTTCTTTTAAACGCGCGTTTAAAAGCGCGCGTTTAACGCGCGTTGAAAAACGCCTAGTGTGTACAGGGTCTAAAGTAAAAGAGTTCCTTAAAGCCTTCCAAGGAGTCACATCAAGAAGAGAAGATGCAAGGTTCTCCCCATCCCATCTACTTCTCCAGAGAAGTAGGTGGGACGGCAACCTCTATGCCAACACCAATTTTACCAGCGATCACCTTCCAGATATCCACTGGAGGAGCCCGAGCGTAGGTCATACCTGCACAGACTGTTAACAGGCAGAAACAAAACACCGAGATTCATTCCCAGCTTAGTTACTCCTCAGCACACAATATACAATCAAACCTTGATTTAACCTTTGCCACTTGTTTGCCTCCAAAACTGCCACTAAATCATGTGACACACTAAACTGAAGAATTATATAAACAATGAGTTTGAAAGTCTCATGATTTAGTTATAATGTTTGCAATGCAAAAATCACACATGTGGTAACTAACTTATATATCAATATTTATGGGGAAGATCTGTTTAAAGTATGCATTGACACTTTATGAGAGTGGTACTATTTAGGAGAATGCTATATCAAAGGTTGACAGGAACCAGGCAGCGAAAATTAAGATCTTTTGGGATCTTCCAGGAATAAATTCATTCCGTGTAGAGTTTAGAATAAATTGTTACATTCTTAGCCAACAGATAATTACAAAGTTATTAAATATTTCAATAAATTGTTACCCAGACAAACTTTCTTAGCACTTTTTTTTGCACTTTTTGATTTTTTGGAAGATAACTGAGGTTTAATACAGGAAGGTGGCGTCTGGAACTCTGGACTGTCAGTCTTGCACGTCTTCACAGCTGCCAAAAAGTTGTATGTAATGAATTCGTACATTCTATCGTATGGTTAAAATTCAAATTTATTGCTGTCGGATACAAATACTTACGGGTTTCCTTATTTTTCAGTTTTCCTTTATCTTTAGATTTTGCCCTTTTGGAAGAAGTTTCATCTGTAATACCATTTTCATGATCAGTTTCTGGAATATTTAAGCATTTATTGTATTTTTGATTTTTATATTTATATAATTTCAAACAGAATGTATTAAATATAATGGAGTATGCACTATATCCTGTATTTTTCTGCACAAATGTTATAGTTCAGGCAGGATTTTTTAAAACTCTTTCCACTCTATGGGACTAAAACGCTACAAAAGGACTTTTGTAGCAAGCCCATTATGGGTTCGGTTAGGCTCAAGTAGGGTGGTTGGACATATCCGGACAGACCATTCTTGAAAAATTTCAACCTGGACAGATTAGATTGCAGGCCCTCCAGAGCAGTAAATGCCATCTTAACCACTCAGCCATCCAGCCAATATTCATGCGGAATTAAAAAAGAACTTACAAAATGAAACGTTAGTTTATTTCTTTAGTTATCATTTTTCTTGCAATTACTATATAGATAAATCTCAATCAAAATAAGCTGAAAAATTATTGTGCCAATGACCAGTTGCATTTGCAGAATTCATTCTGCACTCCCCAAATTTTAATGTATTTCTATGGAACAACTGGTCTTAATATGTACAAATCTTTATTTATATGCTGATTGTGTCTCAAAGCATGTTTTTAAATGCTTGCCTCTAATTAAAAATGTTGGCCACTATGGCAAATTTAATAATCATAAGTACATAAATTAGTTGCCTACTAGTAGCTGACTAGATAAAACCACCAAACACTTAGTTGGTCTCAGGTTTGCATCTGACCGACAGACTGGCCATGTGGATTTTCCGGGTTTTCTTAATACAGTAAACTCCACACAAACTCAGACTAGTAGGGGTGAAGGTTGTCGAGTTTAAGAAAGTCCAAGTTAGTGGGGTATTTTCTCTAACGACACACAAAACAAGATAGATAGATAGATATACAGTACAACAACTTATTACCATCAGCTCTATACAGAAGTTTTACTGAGTTTTAGGTTTTTCCTGAAATAATAATGTCAGCAGTAATCCCAAAAAAATTTTATGACAGTAATATACAGACTTTAATGAGTTGTTCCATCAAATTAGTTTTCAAAATTTTAAACACAAATTGCTAAAGAAAAAAAAAGTTACAATCCAATCTTGTACATTTTTCTATAGTCTGTCTACGGAAAGAATCAACTTGGGCATTAACCAATGAGCATCAGCCATTGATTGCTTAGTTGTGGCAAATTACTTCCCATTTCTTCCTCATTTGTTAAACATGTCACCACCATTATTAACAGTATTATGGAAGCTTCACGTTCTGATATTGGAATAGGTTTACAATAGTAGTAGTTAAACACACGATTCTTTACAGTTAATGAATGCTATAAAATATTAACATGATTAACGGAAAACTCATTCTGCCATCTAGTGAGAGAGAATAAAATTCACGTATTGCCTGACATATTAAGTGAAAAGTGCTGGCATCATTAGGAAACCTTTTGATCGGTTTAACTGAAGTGACATCACACAAGACATTGCTTTCAAGTCGATTCTTTCCGTAGACAGACTATAGAGATATACGGGAGTTTAGAACACTCCTGTAATCCTACTATTCAGTCAATTAGGGGTAATTAAGGATGGAGATTACACCTCTATATCAGAGATCCCCAAACTGTTTTTGACCTTTCACTTCTTTGAGGATTTGTCAATTTATTGTTTACTATATGCCTTATCGTCATCCAAAAGACAGTGCACTTACTATCAGAGGATAATGGATATAACTTTTTTCATCTTGCAGCTGCACTGTTTGTTAGAATAAATATGGTATATGGAGCATTTATTTATAAGAAATCACAAATATTGTAACAAAGATACAAGAAATAATGGCTTCAGTTAAATAAGAATTTAATAGTTTAGTATATCAAAAAAAAAATTTAAAAACAGAATATTTGATAACAGTTTAAGCCTCTTCCAGCACAAATATTTTATTAATCAAACAGTAAATAGTTAAACAGTTATCAATAATTGTGCTTTTTGCCTTTGCATTAATATTATTTAACATAATTATTCACTTTTACATAAACAAAACAGTTGTACAATAAGCTGTAATATATTATTTATTTTTACATAAATAAAAGTTGTAAACAAGTTAAATAGTGAATCAGTTAATATTCCCTGGGATGGGACATTTACACCGGAAGAGGCTTAAACTTATCATTTATCCAATTCACCAGTTTATGAGATTGATTATTAGAACGAACTTATAGAAAAAAATTTATTTTCAAATATGCATAATGCATTTTCTGTTCTATTTATTAAATTCCATTCTAGAACCCAAAGACCGCTGCCATACGCAGTCCATTCCATTAACGAATATTCCGTTATTACCAATTTAAGATGTTTTTGTACTAATTTTAGGAAATTATACAATATTAACAATATCAAAAGTGCTCAGCAACTAAATAAAGAGAAACAAAACACCTTTTTTGCCGAGAAATAAATATAATTTTAAAAAACAAACGTTTTCAGCCTAGTTAATAGGCCATCTTCAGGTCGAAATTATACAGTTATTAGCAATTACTTTTTAAGATATTTGAACATGGTACCTAGATTTATGTTTGTTTAGTTAAGTTACGGCAACGCAACACTTGCATGATCTGTCTACGGAATGCCTTCCGGGATGTCCCCTATTCAGGTATTACAGATGTGGAGAAAACCCAGAAAACTCCACACTGCTGGTCCATCCCGGCAGAGTGCAAACCCACGCCCGAACTCCCATTGTTCAGGGAACGGAACCGCTTGGCCATACCTAGATTTACAGAATTATCTGATAGTAAAAGAAATATTTACTAATATCGTATCTTTCATTGATATTACCATTACTGTTTATTACTTCAGTTACATTGAAGGATCAGTGCAAATGAAATAAAAAAACAGTAAATAAATACTGACTGTTGATAGTATTTATGTGAAATGTCCTGAAAACAATTTAACGTTCTCCAATAGACAATAAATCAAATAAATGCTTCATCTATGGAAGAATCTTGCTTACTAAATAAGAGATTTCAAGTAAAATTTACAGATTAAATCTAAAAACAATTCTTTGCCAAAGACTTTTGTCATAGTGAACTGTATTTAACAAAAGGTGTCCTCACCAAAGAAGCTATCCACGTTGTCGTCACTATGTAAAGGCTGATTGAAGTCGACAAATTGTGGACAGTCAAATTCCCACTTAGGATCAACTTCCATATCACTCATCATTCAAATTATATAAATAAGTTCAAACTGTTCGATTTAAATCAACGTAACTGAACTGAACATTCGAATCGACCACCAAAAGTTTTTGAATCCGCTCACGTGATTCCAACGTCGTTCATCCAACCAATCGTCTAGTAGTTCAATAATAAAAAAAAAAAAAGTAATAATAATAATCAATTTCATTAACGTATTTACTTGATTTATTACCAAGAATGTTTAAATTATTATTACTTTTTAAAAATAATTTTTATAGAGAGTATCGGTATTTGTTAAAATAGTACTTTTAATATTATATATACTGTATATTTATATAATGTCGATTAAGTTGTTTTCAATGTTGCCAGGTAGATTTAGAAACTCCTAGCGGCGAATGTAAACTTTTCATGTTTTTATATCGATAATAAAAAATTTTGATGTTTCGTTTCTAGTAAAAAATTCTTAATTCGAAAATGTAAAGTAATTTAAAAGAAATGCGTATTTATAGAGTTAAATCGAAAGCGTTTATCACTTTTTTTTTGTTTTTTTAGAAACGGTACGGCGCGCCTAAAAAAAAGGCGCAAAGCGCATGCACAGTATTCGGCGGGAAGTAGCAGGTCGTCATAAATATCAAACTCTCGCAAATATGTAACGGAGTTTGGCATTTATGGCGGCTCGCCTCTTCTAGCCGAATACTGCGTATGCGCCTTGCACAGGATTAGAAAATGGCTGATAAGAATGGTTATTTCCCATTTTGTGATCTATATATAAAAGGATCACGCCACTTTCTCCCGTTCGCTCGCGGAGACAGATTTGACAACTTTCTGTCAAGAAAACCCCCCAAACAGATCCGAAATTCCCCTGAATATTGAAACAATTTCCCCGAAATAGTTTTGTTCCGGGTACAATATATTGGTATTTTGACAATTCAGAGAAACAAATTTTCACTTTAGCGCTCAGGCGGAGTGGGCACATTCAAGCAAAAGCATCACGTGACGAAGCCACCTGTTCCTTATCTCTTTTGTCTTCGATAAACAGCAAATTTCTCTGAAATAAATTTTCATTTTTTATTTAAAATGTCAAAATCACACATTAATGTTTCGTCTTTTTTTTTTGAGTCTATGTAAAAATCGCATTAAAGTTTTCCTTTTCCTATGGGCATTAAGAAAGCCTTTAAATAAAGTCCATTGTGGGGCTGACCGAATTCACAATTGGAGTGGAAAATGTCTTAATGCACACGCTTGTTACGTCACGATAGTTTCATCGGCTGCAACAATAATTAACGTAGATTATTTTGTAAGAGAAGAAAAATGTTCCTATTGTTCTAACATTCCTAAAAGGCCATGGAGAAAAGAGACGAAGGAATTTCGGCAAGTTATCGAATTTTCTTTTTAGCAATTCTAAACAAATTATATTGATCGATAGTTTTACGACTTTGTTGTCGATTATACAGGCCAGTGGCGCGTTATCGTATGGGCAAAAAGGGCAATTTCCTGGGGCCTCTACCAACAGAGGGCTCCAAACTAATATTTTGTAAGAAAACGTTTCCACATAAGAAAGATGTCTGAAGTCAACACTACGTGTGGCCCCTAATACAAATTTTCTTGGGGTTCCCATAAAGCTATAACGCGCTACTGGTACAGACCCAATACGATCTACTCGTTTTAACCGTTGTTTTAAAGTCACTTTAATCAACAAATGCTTTTATTTATTTAAAAAATCCATATTATATTTATTGAAATTTGATTTATTTTCATTCGTATCACCTGTAATTCTTTCTGAAATATTTTTGAAACACATCGAAATTAAAAGTCGTTGTAATTTATCTTCAGTTCTTACATTAATTGGCATTTTTTCTTTTGATTCTCCGTCCATTGGACATTAACGGGGTATTTTTCTTTGGCCACAATGAGGGTGACGCCTCGCCCATTTCAAACGAGATTCACTTATTTGTTTCATGGCGGATTTTTGTGATAGATGATTTTTATAATATAATGCTATTGTATTTTTCTTTATGAATAATTGCAAAATATTAGAAATTAACATTTGTAAATAGAAATAATTTCTTTTGACGCTGAAAAATTATTTTTTGATTTTTTAAGTCTTTTTTTTGTATTTTTCATTAAAAAGGGTCCACTAACCGTAGAAATGGACGAAGGACAACCGTGTGTAAAGTGCAAGAGTCAATGCCCGGGTTATAAACCTCACGCTTGGAGGTAGACACTCGAAATATATAAGTGAATAACGATTAAAAATGCCACAATAATTAGCTTTGTTTTTCTGTTAGAGCTATCTGCGATCATTGTAAATGCATGCGTAAGTGGCACGAAATTCGTCTGGATGGCGCGACTAACGTCCGAGATAGGATAGGACTTAAGAATAAAGTGGAACAAAACGGAGTACAAGATAAACGGACTGCCGTAGAGGAAGGATATTCGTGGGTACCACCAGGCTTAGCTGCAGACAAAGTAAGAAATTACGGTAGAAAGGCAATTCAACGGAAGTTATATACTTGTCATCTCGATTGGTTTTCGTATTTTCAGATCCAATCGTACTTCGCACGGATTCCTTCCGAAAAAGTGCCTAAATCTGGAAGTCCAGGCGAAAAATATCGCGAAAAACAACTAATTATACAACTTCCCGATCAAGACTTTTCTATGGTATTCTGTAAATTTTTAGGGAAGGAGTATCAACAGCTTTATATAGACTTTAATAACGAACGCGATAAAACAGCAATGGATATCGCTTATGTCAAAAGTGCTGTGGAACGAACTTCGGTAAGAATGCAAAGAGAATATTTAAATTTTACTTCAATTAAAACTATTTTTCTGTATTCAGGAATGCTACGGTTGTGGAGGGACCGTGATACGTGGAGATTTAGCAGTAGTCAATTCGAAATTAGGAGAAGAGAATCCATTCCATCCGAGTTGTTTCGTGTGTTCGGTATGTGAAGAATTATTGGTGGATTTGATCTGTTGTACTCTAGAAGGAAGAATTTACTGCCAACGTCATTACGCGGAACAAATAAGACCTCGATGCTCTGGTTGCGACGAGGTGGTAGATTTTAGGTTATTTATTTATTTTTTAAAATTCATGAATAAAAAAATGAATATCGTACTCTTGGATTTTCAGCTAATTTTTGGTGAATACACCAAATTAATGTCAAAATACTGGCACCCAAATCATATTTACCGTTTGAAATGTGAAGAATCTCCAAGTAGCCAGGAACTTGTAAGGGAGAATCGTGCATTTTTTACCCGCTGTTACGAAGAAGCGTATTGCAATATTTGCCACGAATGTGGAAGAACAATAGGAGTACATTCCAAGGTAAGATATTAACAAATAAAAATAAAAATATCTATCAAATTTAAAAAAAAATTATTTTCAGAGTCTTTCCTACAAAGATAAACATTGGCACGAAGAATGCTTTGTATGCAATAAATGCCGTATTCCGTTGACAGAAAGATCTTTCGCCTGGAAAAATATCCAAATCTACTGCGAAGCGTGTTACGATGCAGCTTTCGCTTCCAGATGCGAAAAATGCGGCCAAATATTTCGAGCTGGTAAATGAACATTTGGATATTGTCGTAATTTAAAATGGACGTAAAAATATATTTAAAATTTAATTTTTAGGTACAAAAATGTTAACGCATGGAGACAAACAATGGCACAAAGAGTGCGTTCGCTGCGTTGCCTGCGCTAACCTCGTAGGCAACGAAAGCTTCGTTGAAGTAGGTAACGACATACATTGCAACAGCTGTTACCAACAAAAGTTCGGTTCAACTTGTGTCGAGTGCCATCAAATTGTTACCACCGAAGGTGTTGTTTATGGCAACAAACTATGGCACAATCAATGTTTCTGTTGCACCAACTGTCTGGTGCGTTTGGAGGTACGTCGATTCGCACTCAAAGACGATAAACAGTATTGTGTCGAATGTTTCGGAAATTTGTTTGCAGAAAGATGCAGCGGCTGCAACGAACCAGTTATCGGTTAGCTTTATTCTCGATTTTTCTATACTTACAACAGAATTAAATTTATTTACTCCGTTTTTTTAAAATATTTATAGGCATTAGCGGAACTCGCTATACATCTTTCGAAGGCCGAAATTGGCATAACGATTGCTTCTTTTGTGCCGTGTGTAAAGCATCGCTAGTGGAAAAAAATGCTTTTACAGACGGGACGGATGTGCTGTGCCCGGGATGCACTAAATCAAAAATAATGATGTGATGCGGTATTCATCAAATTCAAAAATTTAAAAGAGTCATTTCGATAGAAGTAAAATAATAATAATAATAATAATAATAATAAAATTTAAAATTGCAGTATTATCAATTTTGTATTTTAATTTAACGCCACGAAGCCGAGATTTTAAGAAACGAAATTTGGCACGGTATCTTGTGTATAAGGAGCATTGATACTACTAAATTTCGGTGGTAAAGGTTGAAGGGGGTTACGTGTCGTATCTCAGTGGGATCGGACTTAACGAAGATTTTATTCGTTATTAGCATTGTTACTGGGTGTTTTTTGTTTTATGTATTGGCATAGAACGTAATAATGAATTATGTAAGCTAGCATCTCTTCTGCACGTTCTTTATGTAGAAACTGCAACGACTTGTTACGTAAATTGTGTTCTATACAGTCTTCGTAAACAGATACTTCTTCACAATGTTTTACAAAGTAGTCATCACAATTCTTTATTAGCAGTCAAATCTATAGTTTAGGGTATATGATTATTAATTAATTACTGATCGCCTTATGACTGCCGAGAAACATTTATTTAAAGATGCACAGACGTTTCCATCTTTTGTTTAAAAATGTAACCTAAGTTGAACTATAAATTAGGCTAAACGAAATAAAGTGAACTGTTTTTAATCTCGATTTCCGTTAATTGCGAATAATTGTAAAAGACATGATAAATACCACTAGTCTCACTATTAGAAGAAGAAACCTTTACTTATAATTTTTTTTATATTTTAGAGAGGTTATCGAAAGAAATTGTGCCTCTTCCTTTTGATTCTAGCTGTTGTGATTTTAATAATTGTACTTATTGTTATATTATCAAAGAATTAATGTATTTCACTACTCGAAAGAGAGAACAATCAAAAACCCTTCGAGTAATGTTTATGTTTCAATTTATATTTCCTTGGAAAAAAAAACAAATCAAACAATTTACCTGAATAAGTTGCAAAAATATTTTAATTTTATCCAAACAAATTATAGAGAGTACTACGCTACTTGTTCCCAGTTTTGTTGTTTGTTCATTGTAAAAATTTTTTTTTTCTCTTTTGGCTGTCAAATTTTGATGAGAAAATATGAACAGTAGCAATAGATTTAATCTGTTAAGAAGTAAGAGATTTACTTATAATGAACAGACATTTGTTAAATGGAAGAGTATTTATAAGATTTTGAAATATATATATATATATATNTTATCGAATGGTAAAAAACTTAATTTTGAGGGTTATGATGAGTTTAAAACAAAAAATTGTAAATGTTCATAACGAATAACATCTTTATTAAGTCCTATCTCTTTCGAGATATGACATATGACAACCCTCTATATCCCACCCCTTTAATATTAGGGAGCTGTGATGCAATAAATAATAATAAGGAGCAATGATGATATTTGAAATTAATAAGGAGCATCAATGCTCCTTATACACAAGCTGTCATGCGAAATTTCGTTTCTTATGGACCCAAAACAGATACATACATGGCTTATTTCTTTGGACTCAGGAGGTCTCAATACGTGTAGATTTACAACAACAACAACAACAAAAAAAACTTCAGAGTCAAATTTGACACAATTCCAATACTTTCCTTGGTACGTATATATACAGTAGGGAAAATAAAATTAAGAATGTTTAGAAATGCATTTAACTTTTCACTACAGAATATTTTGTCTTGTTTAGAAACGTTTAAATAAAGGGTTGAGGAAAGAAATGTCTTGCTATTCACTTTTAAATTAAAAAAAAACTAAGTAGGGTAATTTTGACTCGCACCATCTTAGTTAAACTTTTTCTTTCCTCGGCAAAATTTTACACGAGTTAGAATATGCTAACTCGTTGCCCTTACACAAACCAAATTTCACGCCTTTTGACTAAAAAGAAAATGGCGGACGTAGTTGGGACGAATAAAGTAGTAAACCAAAAATATACTATACGGCCACCAGATGGAATTAGCATAAATTGAATAAAATTTTTTAGCTTTCGAAATTATTTTTACAATATTATTTTATGTAATGTTACCGAAATAAAAAAAATACTAAATTAAAGCAGGATAAACTTAATAATAAAAAAAAAAAAATATTTCACAATTTAATGCGCACGCACATTACCGTCACAAAACAGAAAATTACAATTCGGTAAAACACTATTAAAAATTTTTATTAACATATAGAATCATAAATAATATTTATTACATATTAATACTTATACTCTTATAACGAAATATAAAAAAATATTTAATAATACGAAAACTTATATATTAAATTAATTAATAATATAAAATTTTCTGTATTCGCCCGGGAAAGACGCTACTGTAGCAGACAAACTTCAATGGCGTTTTTGAATTTTTTGCTGTTTTGAAGGCGATTGACAATTGAGAAGTTCCGATTTTTTTTTTTTTTTTAACGTGGCGATTTTCGTGTAACATTAAATAACCAAACGTAAGTTGTTTACATTTAAAATTATAATCAAATTATACGATTTTTGTGTGTATACATTGATTAATCTAATAGTGCTTGACCTAATAAACTCATTTTATTTTGGGAGTTGTTTTTTTTGCTATTTTTATTTCGAGGAAGTTCTTTTTATAATTAATTTTTTTTATTTAATTCTTATTCAGGCTTCTTCTCGTGTATCAAAAGCATCTAAAAATAATTCTTTTTGACATTTATTAATGCATTTCTTTACTGAAATGTCTACGATTTAATGTTTTAATACAGTTTTGTGCGCTGTTTTCGTGTTTTTTTTTTATTTTTTCTTCATTTTGCTTAATTTTTGATGGAGATTTAATTAAATTTCTATCACTTTCTATTGAAATGGTAAGAGAGGTTATTTGTATACAAAATTCTCAATTGATCCTGTTTGTTTTTATTATTGTTGCTATGTAGAACTTATGGTAAGATGTTAACTCTGAATGAGGAGTTTCCCACTCCCTGTATGTGCAAAAAAGTACAGGGGAGATACCAGTATGTACGACCCTTTACTAGATATTAACCTCCAAAGGTCGGTTTTTACTGTGTATCGGTATAATGCCTATTCTCCATGCTTCGTGTGTAGTCGCGTGCTACGGCTCGCACCGAAGTGCGCACCTCAAGGTGACCCTAAAACTATATAACGTTGGCTGTGTTGAGCATACTCGACGGTTCTGGAGCTGTTGAGTATTTTTTTGCCAAACGCCTCTACGGTAGTGCTGTTTCAGAACGTGTTTGTTATTTCGATGTCATATTTAGTATCGTCTTTCATTTATGCTACTTGAATCTGACCGATAATGGTCGCTTTTAGTTCTAATGTGTACGTCGCTTGTCGTTCGACAGATGTAACTACGTAACGGCTACCGATTGAAACACCTTTGCTCGGTTACGACTGTTGACTGTGCCGAACGCAGCCGTTGAGTACTCTGTGAATGGTGAAGTGGGCTACTCGAAGCTGGCATAGTTGTGTGGGCGAAATAGTTAAATGTGATAATCTTAATGGAGCATTGCAATTTTGGGAAGACTTCAAAAGGTCACGTGTAGGGGTATTGTTTCTTTGACTTTTTTGCTGCTATGAGTATGGTTCATGGCTCTGATAAGGTCCCATTCAGAGGTGTAATTGTACTGAACTGAAGATGTTTTTTATGTTTTATTTTGTACAACCAATGCATTTTGGGCTGTTTGGCTTCCTCTCCAGTCTTTATTATACAATCTGATAGAACTGAAATGATATTTAGCAACTGCTGGAGTAACTAAGTATTTTAAAACAAAGGGGATAAAACAAGTAAAATTATAAAACATAAAAGTTAAAACTTGCTAAAAAAGTTGGAAAAAACCACAAAAATCTTAAAAATGAATCAATGAAACTACTAAATTAAAAGCAAAATAAAATTGATATTATTCATCAAAAAGTGTTCCCGTGTGATAAGTTCTGCATAACAATTTTCTTCTTACTCCCAAAGAACAAAAGAAAACAAGAAGCAATCAAGTATTAAATGATCATATTTAAGTATTTCTATACATCTGATAAATAACAAGTAAATAAATAATATAAAATAACTGTTGTGGCGATGCCTCAAAGATGGAAGAAAACAATCCTTGAAACAATAAAAGTTAAACATCCAAATAAAAAAATAATCAAGTAGGGAAAAAATATAAAATTTACAATATACACAGGGTTGCTTTGTCAAGGAATTTTCTGAACTTTTATGAATAACTTAATATATTTTGAGAAGTCTTTTTCATAAGTCTAAATTAGGGGTCCCCAAACTTTTTATCCCGTCGACCCCTTTATGGAATATTTGCCTTCTTATCGACCCCCAGAATAAGTATTTAACAAAAACATTAAATCATTTTTGCATTTCTAATGTTAAGCGATAAGGAGACCCGCATAACAACCCAACAAAAAATTTAAAATTCCCATATCTTATAAAATCCACCCAATAACATTAACAGAAAAAGGAGATATTTTCCACTGATTTATAATTTAAAAAAATAATAGCAAAATAGATAGATGGAAATTTGCCTATACTGTAGTTCTTAAACCGTACATGTCATAATACGTAAAATACACACTTATCTTTGAAAACATAACATTAGTTATATTGGATGAAAAAACCTCTGTCATTTTACGACTACTACTGAATGCCTTAAAAATATGTTGAAATGTTTTTTTATTAAAATAGTTCATATTAGTGGGATGGATGTGTCTGAAGAGAAGCAGCAAGATTATTGATATACTATTGAAAATTGGTAAGTTTTAGTCGCAAATCATCACGGTTTTCCAAGTTCAATCTGTTCCTCTGTTTTGTCAAAATTGCGTTCGCGTGGATAAAACCAGCTTCAACCATGTATGAAGTTGGGAATGCAAGAAAGGTTCGGCTTCTGCTCTGAGCTTGGGATATTTAGGACAATGTTGTTATTGCTCCAAAATTCACTGAGGTTTTTATTTTTAAACAAAGCTTTAGCTTCGAAATCTACATATATTTCACTCAGTTCATCTTATAAGTCAGGTTGACTAACTTCATTATCTATTTTTACATCAAATGCATTAGCAAACCATTCGGGAACATGCATATTCTCAGAGTCTTTGAAACCTGCTTTAAAGTCTTCTCTTAATTTATCACAATGTTTAATATATAT